CCGGAGCGAAACTCACCCCCACGGTCGGAGTGGAGACAGCTGACACGACGAGACCGTAGACAGGAGGAGAGGCGGAGGAGGGAGGAGAAGGGGAGGGGAGACCAAGGATCCGAAGACCCGAGACAGGAGGAGGAAGTGGCTGCTGCTGCTGCGGCTGCGACTGCTGCTGCTGCGGACGCGGCTGCTGCTGGGACTGCTGCTCCTGCGGGTCCAGCTGCTGCTGCTGCTGCTGCTGCTCCTGCGGCTCCAGCTGCTGCTGCTGCTCCTCCAGCCGCTGTAACTCCCTCTCCTCTCTCTCCAACGCCAGCTGCTCGTCACGGGCACGGCGAACACGAGCCTGGTGCCTAGTCGGGTAGGGGTGGGGGAGTGGAGTAGTGTCCGAAGCAGCGGCAGCTCCAGAGTCCATCTCAGAAGAACTAGGCGCACCACCCCCAGAGGCAGCACTAACACCAGCTCCAGAACCAGGCTCACCTGAACCCGAAGGAGGCGCACCCTCACCCCCAGACGCAGCACCCCCAGTGTCCGCGCGGCCAGCACCAGCTCCCGGACGACAAGAGTCCTCTGCACCCACCGGGTCAGCTCCAACTCCAGAACCAGAAACTCCAGCTCCAACCCCAGCTCCAACTCCAGCACCCCCAGAACCAGAAACTCTAGTGCCAACTCCAGCTCCAACTCCAGCTCCAACTCCAGCACCCCCAGAACCAGAAACCGGTACAGGAACAGGCGCCGCACCAACCTCTCGAGAGCTAGCACCAGCGGCACGCTGCGAGGAGGACTGTGGGGAGGGAGGCTGTACCGGAGGGGCTACCGAAGGAGGAGGGGTAGCCTGGGACACACCTGACGGGGCTGGACCAGGGGGGGGGAGGCTGTACCAGGGGAGCAGGAGGGGGAACGGCAGTCAGGAAGAGGGGGGGAGGAGGAACCGGGAGACCTCGACTGGGGTACCTGACGTAGTACGGAGTGGACTCCTCGAAACGGACGTCACGGGAGTCAAAGAACCGGTGAGAGGGAGGGTGGTAAAAGGTGAAGTCAGAGGAGTCCTCAGGGAAACCAAGGAAGACACAGGGGACGGCACGAGGCGAGAGCTTGTCCGCGGAGGTGTCGCGGACAAGAGCCAAGCACCCCCAGACACGAAACCGCGACGCAACACCAGGGGACCCTGTCCAAAGACTGGTCGGTGAAACCTCTGGTCGAGAGACACGTGGCCAGAGGTTCAGCTGGTGCGCGGCGTACCTGACCGCGTAGGGCCACAGAAAATGGGGGGCACAGGCGTGAGTCAGGGAGGTGCGGGCGATCTCCATGACCAGGCCTATGCGGCGCTCAGCAACCCCATTCTGCTGTGGGGACTCTGGAAGCGTCCAGGACTGACGAATGCCCTGCTCGCGACAGAATCCAGCGAGAATGCCGGAGCGAAACTCACCCCCACGGTCGGAGTGGAGACAGCTGACACGACGACCACGAGTGTCCTCGGTGGTGAGCAACCACCTGATCAGCGTAGAAGTCACCTCAGACTTCTTCGCCAGAGGGAACACTGTGGTGTAGCGGGAGAAGTCGTCAACGACCACCAGAAAGTAACGCTCACACTCAGGGCCTAGACGAGGGGCTGGGCCCCAGACGTCCAAGTGAAGCGTCTCAAAAGGCTCGGTGGCCGGACGAAGGGAGGAGGAGTGAGGGGTGGCGCGCAGCCTACCCTCGACGCAGGGACGACACGGCGGCGCAGGCGAAGGCGGCAGCGACGGCAAGACACGTGGGAGGCCTAGGACAAGACGCTGACTAGACATAGCGCGCAGACGTGGAAGGGACAGGTGCCCCATCCGGTGGTGCCACAGAACGGTGGGGTGGGCAAGCGACCGGCAGGAGCACGACGCAGCGACTGGAACAGACGTAGGAACCTGACACGACACAGACACCTGGGGGGACGTAGCAACCTGGTGAGACGCGGGGACCCGAACGGGGGGGGGAACCGGGGGCAGTGGCAGTAGGGGGGGCTGCTGGTGCGGCCGCTGGTGCTGCTGCTGCTGCTGCTGCTGCTGCTGCTGCTGCGGCTGCGGCTGCTGCTGCTGCTGCGGCTGCTGCTGCGGCGCACGCGGGCCAGTGTGAAGAGTGTAGAGACCCGAGCCCGGCTCAGCAGTAAAGGTAGCAAGAGGCTGGTAAGAGTCTCCGTCAACACACACCGCAGTCTCTCCAGAAGGCTCAAACCACACACCCACGTGCTGACTCACGAGGGGTCGCACGCCCACCAAGTTCCGGGAGAACGAGGGGACGTGAAACCCAGTGGGAGACCCGGAGGGAGCAGCAGGACACGGTAAAGTGGTAGTGTGACGTGCAGTGACTGGTCCCGTAGTGGGATCAGCCAACGCTACAGAAACAGGCGCAGGAAGTGGTGTAAGTGTCGTGCTGTCCCGAAAGAAGCAGTGGGAGGCTCCAGAGTCCAGTGTGAACGACAGCGAAGCGTCCTCTGAGGTAGTCGCTGGTCTAGAGTCTACACAAGTACCTACACTAGCAACAGGCAACTGAGCAAGACTAGCACCTAAGCTAACAACACCAGAGTAAACAGAGTCAGAAACACTAGAGTCAACAACAGCATACATAGCATGAGGAGCACTAATCAGATCAACTAACTGCTCAGCAGACATGCCCCACAGAGCGGAGCCGTAGCGCTGAACCAGAGGAAGCCAGTCAGGAGCAGGACCGCCAACCCCATAGGTCAACCGGACCGTGTCAGTGAGCTGAGCAAAGCACTGACCAGGGGGGTGAAAGCGGCCACAAGGGTGGCCCCGACGAGGACCTGTCTGAACCTGGTAGGGGCAGGGAGGGTAAGCAGCACCGCGCTGGGGCTGACGCAGCCCCGACCCCGGAGCCAGCTGCTGACGCTGCTGCTGCTGAGGCTGCTGGGAGGAAAGGGGCTGCTGCTGCTGCTGAAGGTGCTGCTGACGCTGAGCCTGGTACCACGCCGCTGCTCCACCTAGCGGGGCCGGCAGTACAGGAGGCGACTGACGAGCTCGAGGGTCGCCGCCACCAGCAGGTGCAGTGGAGTCACCAGCCGCTGCACGAGGGGTCTCTCCAGACGCTGCACTCCCACCACCGCCAGTCGCAACAGCACCCCCACTACCTCCGCTACCTCCGCCTCCACCTCCACCGGAACCACCTTTCTTGCCCCCCCTGCCGCGGGACCGCGACGCAGTCGTAACAGCAGCCGCAGTCGCGTCAGTAGCGGCAGTGGCAAGAGAGGCAGTGAAGGTGGGTAATTGCGGGACTGTGCACCCGTGGAAGAGTGGGGGGGACACAGTACCAGAGGCGGCAGCTACCGAACGAAGGTTGCTCTCGACGTCCTTGAGTGCAGACTCAAGGACCTCGATAGTCAGCTCACTAGGGTGCTTCAGCAGAAGCGCGTCACGAACGGAGGCAAGGCGGTCAGGGAGGCTAGTGGCGATGAAATAGACAGTTATCGCCATGGGGGGAGGAAGCAGTGCAAGCTGTGCCTCAGTGCAAGCAGCGCGGTAACTAGCGTCGAGCGAGCGGAGGTGAGCGATCAAGTCAGCAGAGCGCTCAAACGAGGCAAGATCAGGAAACAGGAACGGGAGGAAAAGACGGCCGAGAGAGACAGTAGCGGGAGTAGAGTAGCGGGCCTTAATCGCAGTGAGGTACGCAGCAGCGGTGCGAACCTGAGTAAAGTGGACCTCCTCGGACTCAGGGAGGAGGCTGCTGAGTGCGATGCAGGCCGCAGCGTCACGCGACGTCCAAGCCGTCCGGTCAGCGCGCTGACGGGCAAAGCGAGCCGTAGCAGCGTCGTCGGGAGCAGGGCCTAAAGCGGTAGGCTCGGGGGGCTCGGGGAGGTCACCAGTAGCGTGTGACCAGAGGATCTCGCCCCCCTGGACCTGACTCTCTAACAGACGACGAGCGCGAAGAAGCCAGACGGAAAAGTCAAGGGGTCTACCGTCAGCGTCGAAACGAAGAACTCGCGGAGTCGCCATAGTGAGAACCAACGCGAACGAACAGGCGAGTAACAACCGGGGGGGAAGAGGACTCAGTCGCAGCAGAAGAGCGGGCTAGGGCGACGGGCCAAGACGTAGGGTAGGGCAACGGGCCAGGGCCTAGGGTAGGGCGACGGGCCAGGGCCTAGGGAGGGCGACGGGCCAGGGCCTAGGGAGGGCGACGGGCCAGGGCCTAGGGAGGGCGACGGGCCAGGGCCTAGGGAGGGCGACGGGCCAGGGCCTAGGGAGGGCGACGCGACGGGGGAAAGGGCGGGAGCGACGCGACGGGGCAGGGCGACGCGACGGGACAGGGCGACGCGACGGGGCAGGGCGGCGCGACGGAGCAGGGCGACGGGACAGGGCAGGGCGACGCGACGGGGTAGGGCGACGCGACGGGACAGGGCGACGGGACAGGGCAGGGCGACGCGACGGGACAGAGCGACGGGACGGGGGGGGAACAGGCGGGCGCGACGCGACGGGGGGAACAGGCGCGACGCGACGGGGGGGAACGGGCGCGACGCGACGGGGGGAACGGGCGCGACGCGACGGGGGGAACGGGCGCGACGCGACGGGGGGAACGGGCGCGACGCGACGGGGGGGAACGGGCGTGACGCGACGGGGGAGATGGCGCTAGGCTCGGTACTAGGCGCGGTAACAACGAAACTGGTACGAACGAGAGGTAGGATCAGGCTCGGGAGGTACGAACGGAGAACGGAGGAACGGGATCCCACAGGATCCTAACCTAGCTGATACCATGTCAGAATGAGGAATGGGTGTTGCATTGATGTTGGTTGGGGTACATATAACAAACCCTAACTTCTGTACCCCCTAAGACAAACCTCACTACAGGCTACAACATTTGACAGTCTCATCTACACAGTGAAGCTTTGAGATGTAAGACCTACAAGAAGAAATGAGCCATCTAAAAACCACCAGAACTGAACCCCGACGATCATGCCTGCTTACCCACTGGCAAGGTCCAGCCCTGGAAGGGATGCAGCCAAGAGAATGGTTTGCGCACACCAGTTACATCTGCTTCTCCCACAGCCCCTGAATTTTCTCCTGAAGCTGCTCCTCCCCTAGGGGGTCCTCCCGCACCTACCCCAGCTGCAAATATCCATGCCTTCTGTGCTATCCCTAGGGCACCGGGCAGGAGATTCACTGGCTGGTTTGTTCCTGTGAGAGATGTGACTATGGGAGTCGACACAGGGATTGACCGGGGAGAACCCTCAGGAGTGCTTTTTGATTGCTCGATTGATGGCATTGGCTGATTGGACATGGTAGGGCTAGGCAGGGAGGTCGTCAGAGTGCGAGGGGGTGATGCTGGTGGTGATCCTGATGCAGGTGACAATAACGAGGACGTGGGTGTAGAGGCATAGGGAGAAGAGATGGAGGCTAAAAGGGGAGGTGGAGGCAGGGGAGAGGAGGGAGGAAAACGAGTGGGGGGGAAGATGCCGAGACGTGCCGATGGGCTGATCGGGGAAGGAGTGATGGATGGAGGACTGATGGGTGGAGGATTGATGCACACAGGACTGGTTACTGTCTCAACCTCCCCCATACCCTCACCAAACCCATCTTCCTTCTCCCTCCGGAATGACTTACTGCCCATCTTCCCCCCCTCCCCTTCTTTCTTCCTCAGCACCATCACCCTCCGCTGCTCCTCCCACCACTCCCTCCTCCTCTCCTCCTCCCGCTGCGCCTCCACCCTTCTCCTCCGCTCCTCCCCCATCTCCCTCTCCCTCTCTTGCCGCCACCGCTCCTCTAGAATCGCCTGCCTGACCTCCTTATAAAGCGGCCGACCCCGGCAGTGCCCTGACACAAAGGGGTGGTCGAGCATTTGTAGCAATGAGGGGCGATTGGAGGGGTTCTTGCAAAGCACCTGGGGGCGCAAGGGAGAGAAGTTAGGAAAGAACTGGCTGCATGTCGTGGCATGGGACAGCGCATCAGGCAGGAGCTTCCTGTGTATGATGTTGATGGCTGTGTGCATGTGTGCATGCGTGCATGTGAAGGATGCTAGGTGGGAGAGCAAGGATAGAAGCCCAACGCCTGCCACATTACTCACTCGGCAGATGAAGTCCTTGCAAGCAGGGGACATGGCATGCGGCAGTGCATCAGGAATGAGCTCCCTGTGCATGATGTTGGTTGCCGTGTGCATGTCTGATGACCCCCCAAATAAGAGGCAAAAGGAAGAGATAGACCCTCCCAACGCAAGCAATCCCACCCACCTTGCAGATAAAATCCTTGCATGCAGGTGACATCCCATGGGGCAGAGCATCGGGAACGAGCTCGCAGTGCATGATGTTGGTTGCTGTGTGCATGTCTGATGTGCCCTCAAAGGGTGGATGGCCCATCACCAGCTCGTATACTAGCACTCCACATGCCCTGACCAGCAATGGGGGAAGAAGGAACACGTGGTCAGCACGTGGTAAGCACATGATAAGCACGTAATACATAAGCATGGCCCATCACCAGCACACCGGGGCAGGAGGAACACGTGGTCAGAACGTGGTAAACACGTGGTAAGCACGTGGTACACAAGTTTTGGCCAAAATCAAAACATCTGCATGCACGATCCACAGAGGGCATGGAAGCACCGAGTCAAACATGAACTCTAAGCTGAACTCACCAGATGTCCACCTTCTCATCATACGCCCCCTCAAGCACTGAAGAGGCGCCACTCTTACCTTCCCTACCAGCACTAGCGCCAGCACCACCAGCACCACCTACCACCTGTTGTTCCTCTCTCAGCAGCACTCACCATATGTCCACCTTCTCATCATACGCCCCCTCAAGCACTGAAGAGGCGCCACTCTTACCTTCCCTACCAGCACTAGCGCCAGCACCACCAGCACCACCTACCACCTGTTCCTCTCTCAGCAGCACTCACCATATGTCCACCTTCTCATCATACGCCCCCTCAAGCATCGGAGAAGTGCCATTTTTTCCCTCCATACCACTGACAGCACCCGCACCACCCACCACCTGCCCCTGCCCTGCTGCTGCCGTCCCCTTTGGTATCTCCGCCCCGCCTCTCTTCTCCTCCCCCTTGCCCCTCCCGCCCTGCCCCCCTCGCCCGCGCTGCCCTCGTGCCATCTGCACCACCTCAGGCGCCATGTACTGAAGGGTGCCCAGGCGGCTGGCAGGGCGCTCTTCTTTCATGTTGATGGCAAGACCGAAGTCACACACCTGTGAACAGCAAGGAGAGTGGCGGAAGGGAGGAGAGCTGGAGGGAGTGGCATGACCAGGCCCATGCGCACCACCTCGGGCGCCATGTACTGTAGGTTTCCCAGGCGGCTGGCAGGGCGTTCTTCCTTCATGTTGATGGCAAGGCCGAAGTCACACACCTGCATAAGAAGGAGGTTGCGGGAATGGCAGAGGGGGGGGTGTGAAGGGGAAGAAGGGGGAAAGGCTGATATCCCCCCTTGTGCCATGCGCACCAAACCACCTCAGGCGCCATGTACTGCAGCGCGCCCAGGCGGCTGGCAGGGCGCACTTCCCTCATATTGATTGCAAGGTCGAAGTCACACACCTGTGACGGGGAAAACGTGGGAAGTCAGAAACCCCATCCCATGCGCCCCAAACCACCTCAGTCCCCATGTACTGCAGCGCGCCCAGGCGGCTGGCAGGGCGCACTTCCTTCATATTGATACCAAGGCCAAAATCACGCACTTGTGAATGCGAGGAGGGAGGGAGGGAGAGAGGGGAAACGGGAGGAGCGAGTGGAATGGTTGTGCCATATGCACCAAACCACCTTTGGCGCCATGTACTGGAGGGCTCTCATCCGGGTCCCTCGCCATTCGTGCAGCATAATCCCACCCCTGCCCCTTCACCTTCTCACCTTGAGAGTGCCATGGAATGTCAACAGCAAGTTCTCCGGTTTCAAGTCTCGGTGCACCACTCCTCTGGTGTGCATGTGGTGCAGTGCTGCGATCAGCGGCAGCAGGATGTGCTTGGCTGTGCGCGCCTCTCCCATGTGCCCCCCACTCGCCCTCAGCTCTTCAAACAGGTCGCCCCCTGACGCCCACTCCTGCACTATGTACACGCACTGGGCGTCCTCGAAGTGACCCAGCCACTGAATGATGTGCTCGTGGCTGGAGGAACGGGAGGGAATGGGGGGGAGTGGGCAGCAGTAGAGCGACGTGCGGGAGGGGTTTGAGTGGGTGGAGTTGGATCGAGGGGCTGCCACAGGTCCCCCCTTCCACGCCCACTCCTGCACGATGTACTCGCATTGAGGGTCCTCAAAGTGACCCAGCCACTGGATTATGTGCTCGTGACTGTACGGAGAGGAATGCGGGGGCGTGGGCAGTGGTATAGGGCACTGGATCAAAACGTGGGGAGAAGTGATGTCGTAGGTGGGCTGTGAGAACCCTCAATCCACTACTATGGGCTGTGCATTGAGACGCCCCGCCCATAGTAGTGTGTACACACACAGCGCATCCTCGAAGCAACCCAGCCCCTGAATTGTAAGCTCGGGACTGCATGCAATGCAAGCAGGGATAGGATGAATCGAGTAGGGATGGGGAATTGAGACGGCCCACTAGTTGGAGGGTCTTGTTACAACAAGTGGTCGCTCTCAGACAGCCCACCCACTCCTACACACTGCCTACGCAGAGGCCGTCTTTCGAAGTGACCCGGACTCTGGAGTACGTGCTAGTGGCTGCATGGGAGAGGGGGGGAGGATGGGGAAGCGGGATATGGAGGTTGGTGGGGGAGCTGGGCGGACAGTAGGTGGGGTTTACTGAAACCTACAGTCAAGAGCGATGATCAGAAGGCAACACGCAGTGAGTGAGTGTATTGGAGTTAAATAGGAAGAAATAATTAGAAAACACATAGCTTTCCTCACTTACCTACCCGCAGCATTAGCAGCTCTTACTTAAGAGTCATTAGCAGTGCCACCTCTCGGTTGATCCTGTGCCGGTCCAGGGCACTTAGAGCTGACTTGACGTACGCCTTAACAGCCACCTTGCGACCCGTTATAGCGTACGAGGCCGCATACACGACTGCATTCCTGGGAAGGGACAGGGAGAATGATTGAGAATAGTAACAAGTCAAGACACCATAGCGCTACACATAGGAAGTACACCTTTACAGGCTCCTTTGTGACCCGTTATAGTGCACCACGAGGCTGCATACACCACTGCATTACTGGGAGGAAAGAGAGTGAGAAGGGTAGTACGGACCAGACAATTAAAGACCAATTCCAAGGGGAGTTGAAGTGAGCCTTAATCTCCCTCCCCCCATTCTTTCCCTCTCCCCATGTCCTCCCTTCCACCATTTCCTCCCTCCCACCATTTCCTCCCTCCCTCCCTCCCTCTCCCTTTCTTCCTCCCTCCCCCCGCTCCCCCGATCCCCCATACTGACCGTCCAGAGCCGATCTGCTTCCTGTTGACAAAGTCAGCTGCGGTTGCCCTTTCATACAAGTTCACGCCCACACTCCTCCCCTCACTCGCCTCGCCGCCCCTCACCCTACTCGCAGAACTCGTCCCCCCCACGCCCACACCCCTACCCTTCCACCGCACCTCCCTCCTCTTCACATCCCCCCTCGGACTATCCACCCTCTCGTGCACTCCGCCCCCCATCCCCTCTGCACCTCCATTCCCTTCTCTGCCACCCTTCCCCTTTGCGCCCCCTTTCTTCTCTCCCCCTCCCTTCCCTTCTTCGCTCCTCTTCCCTTCTCCGCTCCCCTGCCCCTCGCCGTCCCACCCATGCCACAGTCCTTCAATGCTTTCCTCTCCCACTCCTGCTGTCACCATAGGTTCTGACCCTGCTGCTGCTGCACCTGCTGCTGCCCCAGCTCCTGCTGTTGTTGCTGACACAGCTGTTGCTGCCGCTGCTGGTTTCACTGCTACAGCTGCTGCTGCTGCTGCAACTAGCGGTGCTGCTACAACAGCGAAAATCCCTCCCCCTCTCCCATCCTCACCTAGCCTCTCCTCATCCTTCCCAACCACATTACCCTTGCCCCCAACCCCTGGAACAATACCCCCTCCCCCAATCCCACAAGCCAGACTGACCGCATTCCCCATGCCCCTCCCCTTCTCGCTTTCCCCCTTCCCGTCCCCTTCTCCACCCCTCCCAGCAATCTCCCGCTCTCTCTTCGTCCCCGCCTCCCCCACTTCCCCTGCGCTCAGTTTCCCCAGGCCTCCCCCCAGTAGCTCCGCCAACACATCCGCCTGCTCACCACAGCCACCGCAGCTCCCCCCATTTGCGCCCTCCCCTTGTGCGCCCTCCCCTTCAACACTCTGCGTCCCTGCAGCAACCTTACAGCCACGCACAAGCTCATGCCCACAGGTACACTTTGTACTCGCCACAAGCTGATGCGCTTGCATGCGCTCATTCCCCCCATCCGCCCGCGTTTGTGCACGCTTATGCTCGCACGCGCGCAAATCGTCAGTGCCATGCTCAGCGGCAGGCTCTCCGGACTCGTTAACAGCTGCCTCGTTATAAGCAGGTCCGTTGGCAGCAGCGTTGGGGCCAGCCTGAGGGCAAAGCGCGCCAATGCAAGGTGTGACCATTCACCGGCAGACGCGTCAGGCGTTTCAACTCGGAGTTTCACTTTGAGTTTCAACACGGGGTTTCAACTCAATTTTTCCAACACGGTGTTTCAACTCAGAAGCCACTGCACTGTAAAGCCTCTCTGATTTCACCCAAGAAATGAAGCAGGAACTGCGGCTTTGAGGAAACCAACGGTTGCTGAACTGATCTAGGTGACTTCTAGGAGACGAGTGACGACGAGGAGGCGAATGAGCGAAATAGAGGCACGAGTAACACGAGAAAGGATTCGTGGGTTACGTCTGTTGAAGGTACGAATTCGAAAACCAGGAGACGCGGGTGTAATGGCAAGAATAGGACGCACAGCAACTGGAATAACTACGTCTTAAAAAGCCCGTGGTGGGTTCTGCTGCATCGGCTGCAACCAGCCTCGGCAGGCGCACGCCTTCGGCCTCTCAAACTCTGCCAGGAGACTCGGCGCAGCACGCGTTGCTCGTCAGCAAATCGCTCCAAACTTCGGGTGATTGAACCACCACCGGTGACGGAAAATGAACGAATCCGCGACGGAAGCCGTCCGCTTCATCAGTCTAACGGTACGACTGTCGGATCCCTTGGGAATCTCGGCTCTCACGGTCAAACGTTTTGGCAATCGCAGGCCTTGCGGCGGGCGACTATTCAAGACAAGTGTAGAGTCAAATCGAAGGTCGCGAGGGAGAAGGGTGACGATGGAAAAGGGAGCGGTGTATCGCGGTGAGAGGAGCACCCGTAGCGGTTCCGCAACGGGCAGGTGCGGAATAGCACGTGGCGGAGCAGCCCTGTCGGGTAGACAGCCTGGCGCTAAGAGAGAGAGAGGCGAGGGAGGGGGTACTGGATGAGACGTGAGACGCGTCCTGCAAAATGCCGCATGCGGTTGAGGAAACCCGCGATGAGAGGGGCCTCGGCTCGGCCTGAGCAAGGGGAGAGACGCTGGGGGAAAAGTGCAGGAGGCGCAAGGAGATAAGCACGGCCGCGGAAGGCGGTGGGCGTGAACGCGCGGAGTTGGGGTGTGACTGGGACGCGGCGGAACCCGGGTTCGCGTTTCCTTGCGGCGGTCCGTCGGGCGCGATGGACGATGGACGGGCCATTTCGACTCTCGACCCGCGGCCCGCGGGGAAGACAAGGGGCGGAGCGAGCCCGTTGGGTGACAAGGTGAGTCGACGCGACGCGAGGGCGCGGAACAGCGGGACATGGGGTGCGCGGCAAGGCGAAGCTATGTAGATAAGAAAGAATGAATGTGCATGAAGCATGCCTGAACACGGCGGAAAGAATGGTGGGCCTGAGGGGATTGGGTTGGGTCTCCAATGGTTGGGATGGTGCAGGGCGGTGGAAGTGACGAATGCAGAGAGGCGCGAATTTCCGCCTCCGAATTCGGGGAGGGGCGCAAATTTCGTTGCGGTTGGGGGAAGAGGCGCAATTTCCTTGCAGGAGATTCATTATTGACACATTAGGTTCTCACGTTAGCGGATAAGTAGCCTGAGACACAAAAAGGGAGAACACCAAACACAATAATCACTAGCGATTTACATGTAGTTCTTTCATTCCAATATATTAATCGGTGCTGCTGTGTTCAGCCCCATAAATCCTTGTCTGCGCTCGCTGAAAGCGCCCATAACGAAGCATTTCCAAATGCGCCCAGCGACCCAAACATTCCTCCAATCCCTTCCCCGTTCCCCGTTCCCCCTCTCAACTCAGCAGCACACAACCCACCTACCACAGCACTCTCGTAGTTGTCACTACATGCAATGGTCGCGACAGAGGAGGCTTCGTTAGAAGCGTCGTTTGCGAATCCGTACTCCGCGTGCGGTTTCATCGGCGGTATCATCTTCTGCGTCTCAATCCTGCCGCAGCTGGTCAAGACGTACCGTACCAAGTCCGCCAAAGACCTCAGCTATTTCTGGTCAGAATTGGCACAAATCCCTCGTTATTTCACCATTTCCCTAACCGATCGTTTGCGGGCGTTTATAATGGTTACTCTGACATGAATCTTCCGATTAGCAGAATTTGCGCTTGATGCTGTCAGAGTCTCTCCTCCTTGCCCCCTCGTTTCACCTCACCTCTGGGACCACGCACAGACTGCCACCCTCCCGTCACCCCGTCCCCCTCAAATCCCCGCCTTCCCAGTATTCATCCCGCTATCCCCCTCTCCCCTTCTCCACTCCCCTTTCCTCTCCCTGTTTTCGCCCTTTCTTCCTCCAGCCCCCTCTTCTTCGCAATTCGCACTTGCCTCGCTTCCTATTCTTCTCTACTTGTACCTTCCATGCCCCCTCACACTCACTCCCCACCTTCACTTCTCCCATTTTCTCGTCCGCCAGGCAAGCATGCTACCTGCTGGGTCTGATCGGAATCAGCATTTACGGCGTGGCGTACAAGCTCTGGCCCGTGGCCATCCCCCTTATAATTGAAATCGTTTTCATGGTAACCCTTACTGTACTCAAGTACCGGTACGACAAGCGGGCCAAGAGAAAAAAGGCAGCTGGTGCTGGTGCTGAGGATGGTGAGGGTGTGACTTCAACAGCTGCTCATGCTGATGCTACGGATGGTGATGCTGCTGTTGATGCTGATATCTCCAATAAGGGGTGTAGTGATTCTTCTGGTGTAGATGAGGCTTTGGAAGGGGATGTAGGTGATAGTAGTAGTGTTGTTATTGCAGCGGACACAGATGGGGTTTTAGAACATAGGAGGCATTCTGGGTCAAAGGAGCCTGTGGATATTTTAACTATCAGCGAGTTGGAGATGAGAAGGCTATAACAGATGTACAGTTTATGTATCTTTTACCAACACGTTTTTGCCCAATTGTGGTCCTTCTGTCTGTGACTCTGGTAGAGTCCTGCCACTCACTTCAAAATATATTGCAGTACTTCCACATTATCATCAACACAGCTTCCTCCTACGTACCGTAAAAGGCAGACCATGTCTGAGCAAAACCCGCCTTGTCCCCTACCTGAGCAAGACCTGTTCCTAGTCCCATTAGCACGTGAGGAGGGCTTGGAAGGTGCAACTTTTCAAGCCACTTTTTATCTGAGTCGACGTGGTGCGCGAGGGGGGGCACGGAAGGGAGGGCGAGGCCCACGGCCAGGAGGGCCAATGGCCTGGATGGTCATGTTGAGTTGCAGGAAGCTGTCGCCCACAAGTCCCCCTGCTTGCTCCCCACCGCCCGCTGCCGTGATGAGACCGCTGTGAATGAGAGCGGCACGGTGGAGGGTTGAAGAATGTTGGGTGACTAATGTTGGATGGTCAATGTGCAATGGCAAAACAAAAAAAAGGAATTTAGCCTGGTGTAACATGGGAAATACAGGCATTCATGTAAATGTCCCAGTATGCATCTACTTTCTTGGAGAAATGCACACCATACCTGAGAGCATTGCAGGCATCCGTGATTATATGTATGCGTATTATAGGATGAAAGTTGCATACCTGAGAGGGACTTCGAAGACGCCATTCGACAGCAGCTCATATTGCGGGCCCTGAAACACAACAACCGGAAATAAAGACAAGACGGGAATCTGATCTGAACCAACACCCAGACCAGTCTGTCTCTTGATCATGTACACCAATGAAGACGTACATAAAAGACAACATACTGAAAAGCATGCATTAGAACAAATCAGAAGGCATTTTTACCCGCGCAATGAGCTGGCCATTGAGGGTGGGGATGTTGTCAGATTCAATGGGCACTTGCAGGTTCTGGCTGTTCACGTTGGTGCCCAGCAGCGTGCCAGTGAGGCTCTGCACCAGGAGCACTGCGTTGTCCGGCTTGAAGGAGTAGTTGAGGTTCTTCACATCAAACTTGCCCCCTGTGGGAACATCAACAAGAAACAACATCCTCAAATTGAGACCTCATGCAAGCAAAACGGGAACCTAAGATAAGAGGCAACGAGGCGGTGAATAAGAGAGCAAGACATCAGCCTGGAGGATTGATCCCCACCGTAGATCCACATCTGGGGGTTCTGCATGGTCAGATTGGCGATGCTGGCTCGGCTCACTGCTGACGACAGCTCAGCAGTCCACGTGGAAGGATCAGTGCTGATGTTGGACGACGTCCAAACCACCTGCGCAAATTAAAATGGCAGTCGAGAAACATCCCCCAACAAACAACTAAACATCATCTAGGAATTTGGAATGCCATGAATACAGGCGGAGGTTGAGAGTAACAGCATCACATGTGCTTACGCCTTGCATATAATATAACTTGACTTGCCTCGGTGGGCTGGAACGTCTTGCTATCGGCCTGCGAGATGTTGAGCAGCACGGGCCCCGTCTCTTGGAATGAAAGCGGTGACGTGTTCGCTGTGACACCTGGCAGCTTCTGAATGGACCACGTAGACACGGAGTTCTGTGGGATGATGGTGAGAGGCACTGCTCCCGTCTGTGCTGACATCCCGCCAAAGAGAGAGAGAAAGAGTGCGAGGAGGAGGGAGAGTGAGAGGGAGAGAGAAAGAGGTAGGCGAGCGGGAGTGAAACCCCTGGTGGAGGAACGGGAGTTTCTAGTAGCACCAGCCATTGCCATGGATGACTCTCCGCAAGAAGCAGAAATAGTTGGAGAGAGAGAAGGACGACAGCGGAGATAAAAGCTTTAGAGTCACTTGCGGGGAATAGCGCAGGGGAAGCCTCAGCCGAGAAAGCGGGTAGTAAACAACAACATTCCACGACATTCGAGATACGACCGGGTCCAACGTTTGCGACGTTAATATTCCACAGATGCTATTCTTATCTCTGAGCTTACGTGGAAAGAAGCTGCTTCGCGATTCGGAAGGACAGTCCATCAGGCGCTTCGCGACCTGGTTCGGAAACTACAGCTCAGGCCGCCATCGTCGACGACGAACCTCGAAAAGGCTGTAGTAGCGCAATACACGGACACCTTTCCACGTGCTATTACCCTGGATAATTTGTTCTGATAACATTTCCAGTGATACCAAACGATTGTGCATTCCCTTTTGCACCATATCACTTCGTGTACACCATTTCAGTTTCTATTTCACAAGAATCTGAATATTCGGGCAAACATGCAAATATGTCATTCTGTGCATCCCAGACCATCAGCCCCCTAGAGCAAGTTTCGTCGAACATTAGGAATTCCCAAGAATTCCGTCAAATCCATCACGGACAGCGAGAAGCACGCACAGCACCCATTTTCCAAGAGGCTCACCGTCCAGCATCCATGTCGATGCATTAAAACAGACATCTCGTTTTGCAGCAGCAGCGGCCGAAATATCAGCATTCCGTCGTGTCGCTTCACATCATAGAATGGACAGGCTGGGTGCATGGTAGTGATCTAAACGGCAAGGTTCATAATGGTTGAATTACCAGCTGTTTCAATTCGGGTGGCTCTTAACGAGGTCTAAGGAAATATCCGCGCTGGACAAGTAAAACTGGCAACGATAACTAACCCGGAAATTACGCTGCATGTGCCTCATAGATCCGTTCATTTCACCCGCATTACCTCGACCCACAATGGCATGCGACGTGGGCCATTTCGACGAGCACTTCGCGAACAACGCGATGGCGCCGCTCTCTCGCCGCCGATCCTCGCACGAGAAACGAAATCGTCCTTACTTGTTCGCTTTTAAGCGCACTCTTGGACGAGTTTCAGCAGCATCTGCCTGCCTCTGGAGTGTTCAACTTCTCTTTCAGCGCAGAAGCAGCCGGGTTTGCCGCCTCCTGCTCCGACTACCAGCTCTCCGTCACCTGCCTGACCCCGTCTTCCTCTCCTCCGTTGCATCCTCATCCACCCTGTAACACTACTTGCACCCATGGCACTCCACGCCTCCCACCCTTTCCTCCGCATCCTCGTCTCTCTCTCCGTCCTCGCGACCCTCGCCTCACTCGCTGCAGCGCAGCCTCAGCAGCGCGGCATAGTGGATCTGAAGACCATTCCCGAGAATTCCGTGTCGTCGTGGTCGCTGCAGGGCCCGCCAGCGCTGCGCAAGGAGAGCACTCCAGGGCAGTTCAAGCTGGTGGGGCCTGTCGTTATCAACGTGCTTAAGGTCATCCGCCCGCAGTTCACTCCCATCCAAGTGAGTGTTGTCCATTAAATTTGAAAGTGAAACTTCTCGAGCTAAAGTTTCTCTTGTGATGTTGTTTTATTAACTCCTTATGTATTATCTTATTTGTTTTCTTGCATTTTTTGTTACTTATGCAGGCTGAGTGGTTGTCTTCCAATCTGACGTCGGACCCTGCCACGTGGACAGCTTCCATAGGTCCACCTTCAGGCGCCAACGAGTTCGCCAACCTTACCTTCCAGAACCCCGTCGTACAGATCTGGGGTGGGCGGTTTGACATCGACAACACCACGAGCGACTATTCCTTCAAGCCCAACAACACGAGGCTGGTCTTCTCCCGCGTGTCCGGCACCCTGCTGCGATCCGATGTGAACAAACAAAATGTGGTGATCACGCTCCCTGCAGGAAACATCCCGACACTGAATGGGAAATTCATCCGAAGGGTATGCTGTCTATGCTTAATGTTCCCTCTTTCCCCCCGACTTCTTCGTCTTCCTTGTTTGTTTATCAGTTCCATGAGTAGTGGTAGATATGATGGGCTGAACTTTGTTCTGCTGCTGTTATATTACAGGGTCCTGTCTTTGAGCTTATTTCTGGTGGCGAGCTTGACATTCCACTCCGGTGAGCTACAGGAACTATCAGATCTTATATGTTTGTTTTTATTTTACAATCCCCAACCCAAACGGCCGCAAATCTAATGTATGCCTGCACATTTGCTCTTTCCCCCCTACCCCCCCACCCATCCCCCCAAAACCCTGTGTTCCATCACCACGCAACACGACCTTTCCCAACCCACCGCCCCTTGCAGTGTTATGTTCGCAGCCATTGCTCCTCCTCCTCGTGGATCTCCTCCTCCTGGCCCCGGCATCAATGCCTCCTTTGCACGCATCCTCCTCTCTTTCAAGGCTGCTGGGGCTTTCCGCAAGTAGAACCAACACAACCACATGGGATCAGCGCCCTACCTCCCCCCCTCCCCCCCACTTCTCCTGCTCCATGCTTTCCCTGTTTCCCCTGCTTTCTTCTCTTCCCACTCCCATAACCAACTCTTTCCCTGCCACTCTGGCCTTCCCAGTGCATTGGTTGATGCTCTTGGCGTGGAACCAGGCCCACCTCCTCCTGGCCCAAATTTCCCTGACGAGGTGGTCATGAAAGTCAACCTCAGCCTGCAAGCCATTGGTCATCAGCCTCCCCGAACCATTGGAGGGCGTCCCGCACCTGCTGGTCCGGGGAGGGAGCCTCCCCCTCTGGCTGGTGTCCCTTCTGCTGCTCCTGCTCCTGCTCCTGGCCCCGCTCCTGTTCCTGCCCCTGCTCCAGCTCCTACCCCAGCTTCTGAGAAATAGGACTATGTGTAGTGGTGTAGCTGGCGTCATGAAGGGAGGTTATGTCCTAGACATGTACCGCTACCATTGAAATTTGAGAAATTCACTAATGCAAGGAAACTGTTGTGAATGGAACGATAAATTCATACACGGGCCATACGGTATTATGGTGTGCTCTGGGTGGAGCAGAGAGGCCAAGTGCTCAGACTATCCTACCTTGTTCCTGGTCCTGTTAGGAGGCATTGTATTGCCACGATCAACCCTACATTACCAGTTCGAGTACGCCATCACAGGAAGTCAGTCCATGCACAGAGGAATAAAATAAAAAAAACAAACAAATATCAGTTTATGCAAGAAGAAATTTTGATTTATATTTGATTCTGACAATTGATGGCTTGGTGATAACTAGTAAAAGGTGACGACGTGGAGTTGCTTTTGCTGTGAAATTATCTAAAAAGGTATTAGGGAAAAGAAATTATTTCACGCACCTTATTTACAGTGAAAATTATCTATATGTTGACTGTTTTTAAGCATGACAGCCATTGTTATGGAGAGTATCAATATTCATCTATGGTGTTCATAAGTAGGAAGAAGATCGGGTACAGCGAATCTGAACTGCCAACATCAAAGCTCCACAAGGCCTTCTCATGGGCAAGTCGAACATCCATCACGGGTATTCGCCACGAGTCTCCAGTCCAGCTGGTACGGGTTCGGCCGCCAAGTGCGCTCGAGTCTCCACGATTCATCCGAAGTCCGGCTGGATCAGACGGTAACTCGTTTCGCGACAAACCCGAGCCAATCATAGTCATTCAAACAGCTGTCGCGAAAGCACACCCCATCGCACGAGACGCATTTACCGAGCCGCATTTCGTTCCCCCATTCACCCAGCTTTGCAACCAAAATTTTGCCCCACCCCGCCATCACCATATCAAGAACCCTGGCAACTCTCACCCAACAGCCCAGCCAGCCAGCTTCGCCCGGTTTCTGCGCCTCACTCCGTCAGCGTGCCTAGTTCCCTGTGCTCTTTCCATTTTCATCCCGCTACCGGCCCTCTGGTCCTCGTTTGGCTCCTTGATTTTCCACCATGGGTTCCCGCTATTTGCTTCTCCAAGCAGTCCTAGCCTCCCTCTCGGCAGTCCTGCTTCTTTCCACGTTTGCAGCACCGGCTTGTGCGCAGAAACCGCCACGCGTGATGCGCGGATTGGTGGACCTCAACACGATTCCTGACAACTCCGTATCGACGTGGTCGCTGGAGGGGCCGCCTGGACTGAGAAAGGAGAGCACTCCGGGGCAGTTCAAGCTTGTGGGGCCTGTTGTTATCAACGTGCTCAGGGTCATCCGGCCGCAGTTCACGCCCATCTTTGTAAGTGAGAACGCCCAGAACTATGGTATGGACCGTTTCTCTTTTCAAACGGGATTGAGAAACCAAGCATGATTATTCTCTTGTTTTTCTGTAACAAGTAGATTTCTAACACCACTTGTGGGGCTCCTTTGTCTTGTGCAGGCCGAATGGCTCTCTTCCAACTTCTCATCAGACCCTGCCACGTGGACGGCGTTCATCGCGCCACCCGCAGGCCCGAACGAGTTCGCAAACCTAACCTTCGACAACCCACAGGTGCAGATCTGGGGCGGGCGCTTCCCCATCGACAACACCACGAGCGACTACTCCTTCCAGCCTAACAACACCAAGCTGCTCTTCTCCCGCGTCTCCGGCTCCCTCCTGCGCAACAACGTGGACGAGCAGAACGTTGTCGTTGACATTCCCGAGGCTAATGCGCCCACTCTCAACGGGAAATTCATCCGCCGCGGGAAAATCTTCGAGCTCCTTTCTGGCGGATCTTTTGACGTGCCGCTCCGCTCCGTGATCGAAGCTCTTGGGGGTACCACACCCCCCGGGCCCACCCCGCCTGGAGCAGCGGCAGTTATGCGTGTGAACCTTAACCTGCAGGGGATTGGGCAGCAGCCGCCCAGTGCCCTCCGCCCCTACCCTGCCCCCTCTGCTCCGGGCATGGAGCCTCCCCCTCTGGCTGGTGTCCCCACTGCTGCACCTACTCCCCCAGGTTGCGCACCTGTGCCTGCCCCTGCACCTGCCCCCACCCCTGCTCCCACCCCAGCCCCTGCGCCTACACCTGCTGCTGGGGGTAAGAACCCTCCCCCTCCTCCTGGGGCTGCTCCTGGCCGTGCTCCTGGGGCTGCACCCGGTGCTGCTCCCGGCGGGGCTCCTGGGGCTGCACCCGGTGCTGCTCCCGGCAGGGCTCCTGTGGCTGCACCCGGTGCTGCTCCCGGCGGGGCTCCTGGGGCTGCACCTGGCCGTTCCCCTGGTGCTGCTCCAGGAGCTGCCCCCACAGGTTGAACACCGTACTGAGAATCTCATTTGAATGTCACAGGTAGTAGGGTTTGATAATACGGTAGTTGTACAGGCAACAGCACTTGTAGGTAACTGCTTCTGTAATGCTGCTTCTGCAAGGAAATTCGGTATTTCGATTCAAAATTTGACAACACAGTTACACAATCTTCATGCCAATTGCTAGTGTCGAAATCCTTACAAAAAAAGCCATTGCTCCCAAAATTGACGACTGGCCGTAATAGAAGGTCAAAACCATTAGAGGGTAATGATGATACACTAACGGACTGCTCTGCTCCCCATATTGCGATTAGGTGTGATTAAAACGCTGAGGTATCTGTACAAGGGGATACGATACGATAGGAGCAAATATATCTTGAACAATCACCACGAGTAAAAGACGAAAATTGAACAATCACCAAGAGTAAAAGACGCAATCAGGAGAAAGACGAAAATCTGTTACGGGCGTGAATCAGTTACGGAGAGCTCAGTTCGAGTAGGAGGTTTAAAGAATTTGATTCGTCACAGGCCAGAATTGGCCTCTTAAGCACTGATCGTCATTGCTCTCCGTGCATCCATCATCACGCACAAAACCAACACCCAAACGTTTCAGGCATCATGCGCCATCACGGTGAAGACCCAAGCAGGCAAGGCACCGAAGAGAGCTGCACGAACGAAGCGTACCTTGCGTGGCATCGTGACATTGAGGCCAGTGGCGAAGATTTCATCGTGTGACTTATTTCTCGTTTCTCCGCGACTCAGCAATGGCACGCAACAACATTTCAGCGTCCTGGTTCCCTTGGATTCACCCGCATCTTATGCCACGGGGTTGACTTGAAGCGAAGGATCCTTCGAAGCTGAACATTACCACAATTGTAAAGCCTGCAAGGAGCCCGGAGAATCGGACGGGGGGATGTCCGGAAGGAGAACCCAACAAATGCATGCTGAGAAACGTCCGCCGAAAGCCACTTTTGCATGGTGCATGACAAAAATTGCTGGAGAGGAAACGTCAAGATGTGGGTATGAACGTCCTATGAGGTAACAGTAATGAACCTCCCCTACAGGGACGGTCAAGAACCCTGTGGACTCCCCTCCGCTGATCACAGCGGACGGGTAAGTCACGGGAGGCTGGGCGATATGTGCGACTGGGAACGAGTACGTTGCGACAGCGGAAATCGCAACCCCGGACAGGCAATGCGAACCCCGTGAAGGGATCGCACGCCGTCGCATGGGAAGCGAACCGTTCGAACGACGCACTAGCAATTGTCGCAACCAGAATCATGGTTTAAACACCCGGCATGAAGCCTCCAGAACAGATGTCAACAGCATCTCGAGATGAAGGGCATAAAGCACCTTGTCAGACGATACGCCAGGTCAGAAGGATAGAACCGACTGGAGAGAGACGTCTTTCAGCCCCGCATGTCAGTGGGCTTAACGTCCGTCAGCGCCGTCTTGTTGGCTACTTCTCCCGTGTGGGCTCCTATCAGAGAAAGTTTTTGGCCAGACCAAACAGCAACAAAAACATGAAAGATAAGATCTTTGGTTGGAAGAGACTGTTTCCAACACTAAAAAGCACATCAAATATACATTCCCGAGATCAACATACATTGAGGATGGACAAGAATAATCAGTCCCATCAGTTCTCCAAGGTTGAGTCCTCAGTCGGCCGAAGGCCATCGGACGCAAATTACCACATCTACTTAAATTCATCATTTGGGACTTGAATGCTAAGGACATTGACCGCATGAGGGGATCAAACAGGAACGCGAGACGCGGCGCAATTTAAGTGCAAGTGCGGAATGGTGAAAGTCGAGTACTGAGGGACCAAGGAGCAGAAGCGAACGGTTGGACGGAGCGGACATATGTAAGTTTTCAAGGTTGCAATGAGCGGCTCAGAACCACAGCTAAGGTATTATTGTACATTCCCCACGGTGAAATCGGAGGTCCAGAAACATAAGTCATCATAGCCGCGAGCACATAATGATCAACCTGAACGAGTTTCATAACTCAGATCATGAAAGCAAACGCTTTTCAGAATGAAAGAGAAAGAGGGTGAGGATACATTGGAGATTGAAAATGGCTTACCAGCTTCCGTCGTGTGATAGCTGGCAGCACGCAAGGATCAAGTGCGTTGAAAGCCGTGGCATAGCCATGGACTTAGTTGTGAAACTAAAGAGGATTCAATGAAACACGTCCCTTCGGAATAACTCCCCGATCCCGCTGAGTTCTACGTAATCTGAGCTTGATAAAATACTCTCGACTCGACTCGCCACCAGCGAGAAAGATGGAAGGGGAAACAGAACGGATGGAATGGGGGGGTTTTGCTGTATGTTTTGGGGATGCGCAAATGACCACCTCGATTCTAGGGCTGGTTGGAAGCAATTTTGATAGCACAGCTTCACACAATCTTGTATAAGTCGATGGCCTAGGTGTAATAACGCAACATGGAACAATTGGCTACCCGATGTCGCCACGTCGTCACGGTCAATCACGTTCTGTACTCTCATTTGACTTGTGTGGCAGGCTGGAGAGAAATGTGCGACTCGTAATGTTGACTCGCGCGCTTCGCTCGTCACCCTCAAGCTGACATTTCCGACGCAAATCAATCTTGAGATGGTTGAGGGAATTTGAAATACGTTGGGTTGGAGAACAGCAACTGCAAGATCGACTCACCTACAAATAGCCTTCTCGATAGATTCAAAGCTTCATGCGAACTCAGACTTCAAACCAGCGGTTTCCTCATTTTCCTCGCAGCGGAATTTGTTTTCCCTAGAAAGGACTTTAACAGAAACATACACGACCCAGATTCTGTCTGTCCGTCATCTCCTGCTCATGGATATCCAGAGGAACTCCGCTAGCGCGATCATGCTGGCAGTAACCGCATTCGCGCTTCTCGCCTCCCACGCCGCAGCCGTCGTCATCCTCAACTTCGTCCCAGCAGAGTCCGTGTGCCACGTCACCCTCCAGGGCCTGCCAAGTGGCATCACGGCAGAGATCACTCCCAGCTCCGTCAACCTGATTGGTCAGATCAATCTGCGTGATTCTGCAGAAAATTCGTCAGCCACGCGTGTGGTGACGTGGCAGGCAGCCACCGCGGGCTCGCGCCCAGATGAAATCACAGCCGTCCTTTCAGCCGCAATGGGCGTTCCCCTCGCTACAATCAAGGTCTCCCAGCCAGTAGTGGAAATCTCAGGTAAGAGAAAAAAAATGTATAACATATCGCTTGGTCAATAGAGTGCACCAACATTATCTCACCCAATTTTTACATTCCCCCTCCTCCTTTACCTCTTTCTCTGCACATGCCCCATTTCACTCCCTCCCACAGGGGGTCAGTTCCAGCCTTCCCCAGATGGCACCTTCACGCTCACACCCAACCAGGTGGTGCTGCGCGCAGGCGCCCTCACAGGAAGCTTCCTAGGCTCTAACCTGGACCAGGCGAATGTGACTGTAACGGCACCTCAGGAATCTGTGCCTGCAGTGAGCGGGCGGCTCACCAGCCGCCTCTCACAGTACCGCCTTGTGCTGCAGGCGTCTGTGACTGTCCCTATCGGGTAAGCCAAGCTGCTGTGGTTACCACGAACTCACCTGAGGTCTCCCTCCCCCATCCACCCACCAACGTTCTTCCCCTCTCCCCACACCAACCCCCCTATTTCCCCATCGTATCAGCTCTGTCCTTGCCAACTCAGGAGCAAGTGACTCCGCGATCTCGGCAGCAGCAGACACGCGCGTGTTGGTCGAGATAAAGGCTCTGGCAGTCGGCACTAGTGCATGATGCACTGAAGTACGGTATAAATGCAGATGGGATGGTGCGTGCAATGCTGCATCAGACCTGTGGCTGCGGAAGGACTTGCAGTGATGCTTAATTTCTGTTTTGTAATAATGATAGCATACCAGAATGCCTGCTGCTCCGGTATGGAAAATGTTTAAAGGATTTGATAAAACCTCCTTGTTCAATACACCATATTCAACAACTAATCCAATCCCAGAGGAAGTCAAGAAGAACCTTACACATAAATTAGTTGCTACACCTACACTGCAGCAAGCTGGTAAGGAGCACATAATTTACAAACAACCCATGGAGAGAACAGGACATACAACCTGACCTAGGTAAATGGCATGAATTTTCCAGGCTGCAGGCAGCAGCTACACGCCGAGCCAGAAGACCCACGAGAAAAATCTGCTCAAGCGAAACGGCAATTCATAATCCTCATGCATGAGAGGGTCGGCCCAAGCTGCAGCAGTGACCAGACGACAGAATCTTCTCGAGGTGAAATCTCATTTTACTCCCACCGCTCTCACACGCCCAGCCAGAAGACCCAGGAGAAGAATCTGCTCAAGCCGAACGGCAGGTCATAGTCCTCATGCATGAGAGGGTCGGCCCGAGCTGCCTTACGTCCGGACCAGACGTAGAGGCCTCGTTCGGTGGCCGTGCCAGGCACAGTGTTGTCGAGGAAGAAAGCAACCATGAAGGCGATGGCCATGGGGAGGGCGAGCAGCGAGTTGAGCACAAAGTTGAGCTGCCGGGGGATGGGAAGGGAAGGAGGGGATTAAAATTTGACCAGCCATAAAAAGGCCTCGTGTTGTGCCGTGCCGTGTCGTGCTGTGCTGGGGACAGAGTGTTGTTTAGAAAGAAAGCAACCATGAAGGCGATGGCCATTGGAAGGGCGAGGAGTGAGTTGAGCACAAAGGTGAGCTGCCATGGGGTGGCAAGGGAAGAAGGGGTGGGGAACAGCAGGGAGGGGACGGGAGGAGAGGAAGAGGGAATTAGACGGGAACCACGCAGGGGCCTCATGTTGCGTTATGCCATGCCGGGCACAGTGTTGTCAAGGGAGATTGCAACCATGAAGGTGATTTCCATGGGGAGGGCGAGGAGTGAGTTGAGCACAAAGTTGAGCTGAAAGCAGCAGAGAGGGGAGGGGAGAATAGAAGAGAGGAAGAGCGCGAGGCTGGTGATGAGGAGGTTGCAGGAGGAGCAAATCTCAGCCCAAGGCTACAGCACCTACAGCGGCTGCAGTGGCCACAGAAGCCACACCTTCCACGTGCATGCACTCAACCACCAGCACCCAACACCCACTCACCCCCGAGCTAGAAGTGTTGATGGGGCCATGGCCATTCGAAGCCATATACGTCTTAAAGTAATCAGGGACGGAGAGGGAGAGGAAGAGCGCCAATCCAGTGATGAGGAGGTTGCGGGAGGAGCCCATCGCACCCAAGACTACAGCGGCTACAGCACTATGTGCCCGGAACACCCACTCACCCCGGAGCTAGATGTGTTGATGGGGCCATGGCCGTTGGATGCAGTGTACGTCTTGAAGTAATCCGGGACCGACAGAGACAAGAAGAGCGCCAATCCTGTGATGAGGAGGTTGCGCGAGGAGCCAATCGCAGCCCAAGACTACAGCGGCTACAGCACTATGTGCCCGGAACACCCACTCACCCCGGAGCTAGATGTGTTGATGGGGCCATGGCCATTGGATGCAGTGTACGTCTTGAAGTAATCCGGGACCGACAGAGACAAGAAGAGTGCCAATCCCGTGATGAGGAGGTTGCGCGAGGAGCCCATCTCGGCGTAGCGCAGCGAGGAGAGTCCGAGCGATGCTGCCATGGCTGCCATTATGGTGAGGAGCCCGCCGATCATGACTGGTGGCATGGAGGCGAACAGAGCTCCCACCTTGCCTGGTGGAAAGGAGAAAGGATGAGGGAGAGAAGAGGACGGGTAGGGAGGGAAGGGATGTGTCAGCAGCATGGTGAGTTTGTTGCGGGTCTGCCAATCATGGCTAGAGTGGTGTGGTCGCACAAAACACACCCCCACCCTGCCTGCCACCCTCACTCGTCCCACACATCTCCCCCACACCCCATTTAAAAGCACTACAAAAATACCCGCATCTCTCCCCCTTACCTTCCCCCACCTCCCACTTCCCTTTCCCCATTAACACCCCGCGAGCCCCTTCCCTTCAGTCCCGGTCCCACCACCCCCCCTTTCCCTCGTAATCCTCCTTCCCCCACACCCCACCTACCGAACAGCGAGAAGAAGACGAGGAACGCCGACCCAACAATGATCGTAACGCGCGACCCCATTCTGGTAACCGCAACGAGGTGAATGTTCTCAGTGAGAGTGGTGGCGCCACCCCCCGTGCCCCACATCCCTGCCAGCACGCTCGCTATTCCCTCCATGCCTATCCCCCGTCCCACCACCCCGCCTGTCGGGGGCCGCACAGCTACCAGCAGGGAAGTTGCGTGGTAGTTGCTAACCTGAGGGGTAGTGGAGGGAGGGAAAAAACGAAGGGAGGGACAGAGGGAAGGACTGGGATGAGTAGGGACGGTTAGACATAGGGGGGGTTGCAACCATTTCGTTGGAGATAGAGTTGGTTGATTGAGACAGATGTGTTGCTATTTTCCCAATCAACACAAAATACAGGTGTGTTTTGAGTCGACTCAAAATACATTGGTTCCCTTTCTCACCGAGTCGATGGTTGAAATCAGAGCAGGCAGCAGCATGACGCAGATGGACTCCCATCGAAAGATGGGCATGCCGTACTGAAACGGGTACGGAGGCGCCACCCACTTGGCCTTTGGCTGCTGTCCCACGGAGCCACATGCATGCCCCCACCCACCCACCCGTCCCACTGAGCCACATGCATGCCCCACCCACCCATCCGTCCCCAACTCACCGAGTCGATGGTTGAAATAAGAGCAGGCAGCAGCATGACGCAAATCGACTCCCATCGAAATATCGGCATGCCGTACTGAAACGGGTACGGAGGCGCCACCCACTTGGCGTCCGCCAGAACACTGGAGGCTTCATTTCCCATCCTCACCACACAGCATAAGAGGCATCGGTTCCCCCCTTCTCACCGAGTCGATGGTTGATATGAGGGCAGGCAGCAGCATCACACACATTGACTCCCACCGAAAGATTGGCATGCCGTACTGAAACGGGTACGGAGGCGCCACCCACTTGGCGTCCGCCAGAACACTGGAGGCTTCATTTCCCATCCTCACCACACAGCATAAGAGGCATCGGTTCCCCCCTTCTCACCGAGTCGATGGTTGATATGAGGGCAGGCAGCAGCATCACACACATTGACTCCCACCGAAAGATTGGCATGCCGTACTGAAACGGGTACGGGGGCGCCACCCACTTGGCGTCCGACAGAACACTGGAGGCGTCGGTGCGGCAGGAGGCCATGAGGGCTTGCTTCTGGAAGCACGGGGAGGAGGAGGGGTAGATGGCCGAGGGCGAGCAGTCGGGGTAGCTGTAGACGCCCGCTAGGGTGAGCACCAAGGCATAGAGCCACGTGATTGCCAACCCTAGGGAGATCTGCGAGGGATTGGAGGGGGAGAAATGGGGAAAGCACGTTGAAAGGCGAGCAGTCGGGGTAGCTGTAGAGGCCCGCTAGGGTGAGCACCAAGGCATAGAGCCACGTGATTGCCAAGCCCAGGGAGATCTGTGAGAGATAGGATCGAGGCAGAAGGGCGAGGGATGGGAGGGGAGCAGCAGCAGAACAAGCATCCATCAGGAGTCAGAAGGGACACTGGAGGCGTCGGTGCGACAGGAGGCCATGAGGGCTTGCTTCTGGGCGCACGGGGAGGAGGAGGGGTAGATGGCCGAGGGCGCGCAGTCGGGGTAGCTGTAGACGCCCGCTAGGGTGAGCACTAGTGCATAGAGCCATGTTATAGCCAGACCTAGGGAGATCTGCGAGGGATGGGAGGGGGAGAAATGGGGAAAGCACGTTGAAAGGCGAGCAGTCGGGGTAGCTGTAGACGCCCGCTAGGGTGAGCACTAGTGCATAGAGCCATGTTATAGCCAGACCTAGGGAGATCTGCGAGGGATGGGAGGGGGAGAAATGGGGAAAGCACGTTGAAAGGCGAGCAGTCGGGGTAGCTGTAGACGCCCGCTAGGGTGAGCACTAGCGCGTACAGCCATGTTATGGCCAGACCCAGGGAGATCTGGTAGCGAGGAAGGGAGTAGGGAGGGGAGGAACGATGGAAAAGCGGGAGAGGAGGGATAAACGCGTTGAAAGGCGAGCAGTCGGGGGAGCTGTAGACGCCTGCTAGGGTGAGCACTAGCGCGTACATCCACGTTATGGCCAACCCCAGGGAGATCTGCGAGTGATGGGAAAGGAACGGGGGAATGTTAAGCAGGATATGGAGCACTGAAGGTTGCTGCACATGCAAGAGACAGACCTGGTATACCCAGGGAGATCTAACGAGAGAACATCAGTTAGTAAGTATTGGAAGGAAGACAAACAGTTGGGATGTACAGTGCGAATAGAGAGAAAGCCCGCTAAATGCGGAAAGGGCAGGGCGGTGGAGGAGCTTACCGCGTGGATCTGGAAGAACCTCGAGCCCCAGAATGACACTCGGCGCAGGTACTGTTGAGAGGGGTGCAGAGCGGTGGAGAGGGAGGCAGAGAGGTGGAGAGTCACTAGCGGATGGCGGAAAACTTTAGAATACGTCGGTGCTAGGATATCCAGCTATATTTCCGTGTCTGATACCAGGGCGGCTAAGCTGCTGCTGCTGCTGCTATCACATCCGAGGTCTAAGCTGCTGCTGTCACATACCAGGTGAAAACAGTGCTGCTATGATATTCAAATGTAACTACTGCCACATACCAGTGCGAAGATGACAATTAGGATGAGCTCAGGCAGGCCGATGGCCACACAGCGGCCGATGACTGGAAAGCCATAGGAGAGGAAGGAGAGCCCCACGGCCATGATGGTTGGTGCCACCACCACCGGGTTGATGAGCCTGCCGTGGAGGATGGGGGATGGGGGAGCAAGGAATAAGAGGGGAGTGCGGGGTACGGCCGATGACAGGAAAGCCAAAGGGGAGGAACGAGAGGCCGACGGCCATTATGGTTGGCGATACCACCACTGGGTTGATCAGCCGGCAACGATTTGCAGCAGCGACGCCACGATCAGAAGCAGCGGGTGAGGTTGTGAGGCGAGGGGGTGGGGATGGGGTAGCGGGCAACCGAGGGTGCTTACTCTATAAGAAGTGACATGAAGCCTGAATAGCCGGCAACGACTTGCAGCAGCGACGCCACGATCACTGCCCCCATCGTCTCCCGCATTGTCAACGAGAACCGCTGTGAGGGATCGGCGGTGAGGTTGTGAGGCGAGTTGGCGACGATGATAGCCGGTGCCAAGTACACGAGAGAGGACCCCTGCACGAGGGGCAGACGCGTGCCCAGCAGCACGTGGAGCGTGGTCGCCACGCCCGTCACCATCATCACCGATTGAATCACCGCCGCCTTGTCGAGCTGCAATCAGGAAGAGAAAGCAGGGAGCAGGGCTGATGGAGAATTTAAACGGTAAGGGCGCAGTGCAATACGTGGCATGCTGATTCTCTTGCCAAGTGTGATTCTCGCCTGCACCAGGAGTAGTGCAATAACTGATGTACTTACGTCGGAGCCTCCCATAGCGGGGACAAGTATCATCGGGAACACAATCACGTTCGCTATAAGCGCAATCATGTGCTGTAACGCGTACGCCACCATCCACCCGGCCTCGGGTCTCTCCCTCATCTCATAATTCATCACGCCCGTCCGTTCTTCCATCCCCTCCTCTAAAGGCATATCGTCTACAATCACATCTTTATACATATCGTCATCTCCCCCCATATCCTCCCCCTCCGCGTATCCATACTCCCCCTCCGCCATCCGATATTCCCCCTCATACTCCCCCTCCGCTTCCCCCTCCTCCCCTTCCGGATACGGCGCCACCTGGCTTCCGCCAACCCTTCCGCCGACCGCCGCGCCTACAAAGGCCCCGCCTGCCCAACCCGCTGCTACCGCTCCGCCAACCTTCCCCCCATGTCGGCTCGACACCTCTTCCGACCGTCGCGCGCTTCCCATTCCCGCGTCGCTTTCCTCAATGGACGAAACCCCCTCGTTCTCCGCTTCCGGTATAGTCGCAGAAGCGACCGCCTGGGGAGTTTTAGGTGACATGCTGCCGGCCCCGATACTGTCACTACTCGCTTCGCCCCGCTGCGCGACGGGGTAGCGGATTGAAGGCGCTTTCTTGAACGCGGATCGTCCGGGCGGTGGCGGAAGCTGGGGAGCGGAGACTTGCCCCCCATTCCCGCCGTGCCCCCCGTGACTATCGTACCCGTCGTATCCCTCATGCGCTAAGTGCCCTTCCCCCTGACCATGAAACCCGCTCGCTTGGAAACTACTGCCGTCCGCGCTGCTAGCGCGGGACGGCGAAGCGGGTTCGCCTGGAGCGGGTGTGACTGTATTGGTGCCATCGGTGACGTCGACGACACTGTCCTGGCGCGGGGACATGAAGCCGCTGACCAAACCCGTGCGCCGAGCCCACGAGCCTAGAGCCTGGCGGGACGAATGAAGTCGAGGAGATGGTAAAGATACTGCGACCAATAATATGTAAACCTAAAAGCGCGGGATTGTTGAGGGTAGCAGGGCATGGAAACAGGCGAAAAAAAAATGCTGCAACGAAGGAAAGGTTAGTGGCAACACATCCTACTTGTGGAGGCATCTAGCACTAGCTGCAAACTATTAAAATGAGCCGTCTCATAATACCATCCGGCTAACAATTGAGTGCTGGAAGGAAACTCGTTCACACAGGGCTACAAAATTCAGGGGACTGCCTACCTTGGGATTAAAGCCATGGTCTTGCGGAAGAGGATCCATGTTGGTGAGTCAACTGACAGACGGGAACGACGTAAAGAATGATTGTCGAATCGAGATTCACGAACTCGTATCGTCAATAGAAATATGGTCTATGTAATCGAAATCAGTACCTGTGTGGGTCGACGCTAGATAGACTTCCCTTCGAATCAGTCCAGGGCGTTTAGAAAAACCTGCGACGACGATCTATTACGCGGCTAACTAAAGGTCGCTAGTCAAACAGTAATTATGCGTAATCCTAATAGCTTACCCTGCGACAGACAGGTCACAACCCTAAACCGTCATCGGCTCTAATAATAAAATGCTAGCAACTGAAGGAACTGCACAGCAGCGGCTAGAGATCAGGTGCAGCGTGGAGATCGAGGAGAAAGCAGATGAAACCTTTCTGCGCTGCCTGTCTGACGTCTGATTCTGATGGGATGTGAACCGAGCCGCATGTCCTGCGCGCTCCGATGAGATGGAACTGTGAATCCTCTAGCTGTGCGGGACTTTCTTGGTTCCAGCGAGAACGTTGATTGGTGCGCGCGTGAACTGGAGTGAGATGTCCCCGAGACTGCCCGCACGACACCGGGATTTGCGGATGAAGTTGAAACTTTTAGAAACCACTTCCTCGGGAACTTCTTTCGTGCGTCCCGTGCAAATTTCGATGGTCCTCAATTTCTGCTCGGTTCGTGGACGTGAGGTGGGCACCCTTCGACCTTCTCAAGCTCGTCAAATTTCGCCGGCATTGAGGTGGAGGAGCAGTCTGGTAACATTCTCTGACAAACCAACCAAACCAGTCCGACTCCGGCCGCTGTGTCAGTGGGCCAGGAAGACCTGACACCACGGAAAGCGATGAGCGAAAATCGGTCAAAGTGGGACGCACTATTACACAGATCCGTGTAAAAACTGAGTGTAGGAATGGGGTTCAAGTAGACTACAATTGGAAACAAACAACGAAAACTGTACCTAGCATCTCTACTAAGGGGTTCAGATTCCAAGGCTTTCCTAAAACCAACGAATCAAATCCGGTTGAATTCTCATGATTATGTCACAACCGCCGACGCTCCTCAGCATCCCCATCTGACGATGCAGCTGCCTCCGCACTTTCCTTCAAACCAGCCTTCTCCTTCATCCGCCAAAACCTCTTCTGCACAACGAGCACCTGCTCCTCCTCACCATCAATAAACGTCCTCGATACAGGCCCCTTCAGTACAATCCACTTCACCGCCTTCAACCGCTTCTCCAGACGTGCAATAACATCGGCACTGTCTCGGAAGAGCAGAACACCCTTGGGACGGAGGATTCGGTCGAGCTCAAGTAGCAAGGCCTCCAAGGAGCATTTGCGCTTGAGGACTTGAGACACCGCCCTCCACGCATGGACAAGGTCATAAGTCCGGGGATATGTCGAGAAGGGCTCACACCTGAAGCAGGAGACATAGTATACAAACAAGTGTCAGTATCAAATGACAGGGACAGGCGCAGAGGATACCAACAAGGGGCAGCAAACCAGGCCCTCTGCAATTCCCCCATGTGCAAAGGTCCCCAGTATCAACCCCAACAACAGTGCCACTCACCAGTCATGGAACATACCATGGCTAGCCCAGCACTCTTGGCTTCTCCGTGCGGTGGCACCTTGTTCATCACCCACACCGCTGCATAGTCCCCTTCAAGTCCCCACCACCCCATCACCTAAACCTGCAAGCCACTCACCAGTCGTGGTAAACTCCAATGAGCTCGCGGTCATACACCAATGCCAGTCCAGCACCGCTGGCTTCCCCCTGCGGGGGCACCGTGTTCATCACCCAAACCTCCTGCCCCTGCGCTGCCAGCACCACAGCATAATCCCCTTTGTGTGCCCATCACCCCAATAACCAGCTCCACTCACCAGTCATGGAACACCCCGATGAGCCCTCGGTCATACACCATTGCCAGTCCAGCACCACTGGCTTCCCCCTGCGGGGGCACTGTGTTCATCACCCACACCTCCTGCCCCTGCGCTGCCAGCACCACAGCATAATCCCCTTTGTGTGCCCATCACCCCAATAACCAGCTCCACTCACCAGTCATGGAACACCCCGATGAGCCCTCGGTCATACACCATTGCCAGTCCAGCACCACTGGCTTCCCCCTGCGGGGGCACTGTGTTCATCACCCACACCTCCTGCCCCTGCGCCGCCAGCGCCGCTGCAAACCCGCCCATGTGAGCATTGATGTCAATCACGTTGCGCACGGGGAAGGCCGCCTTGGAAGCCTTGCTCTTGGACGCTGCTTTGTCTAGAGGACGCAGGAGCGCCTGCCCGCCCAGCAGAGAGTCGTAGTCTGCTACTATCTTCTCCCACGCTTCCTGTCAATGGGGTAGGGGCAGAGGGAGGGCAGGAATGATGGCTACTGATGTGCTTCGAAGAAGAAATTATACCAGCAGCGCCCGCCATGCCACCCACCAGAAAGCAAACTATAATCTTCGAACAAAAAAGGGTCACCAGCAGCAGCAGCAGCAGCAGCAGGCCGAATCCGGGGACAACTCACTGTGTCGGCCTCAAAGTCGGATTTTGCCAGCCCTAGCAAGTCAATGCGGGGCGACGGAGACACCAGGCGTTCTGGCCACGGCTGGATGAGCTTGTTCTTCTTGCCTTTGGGCACCGTGTTGACGCATGCATCCATCGGCGTGTACCAGGCCGAATTTGGCGACACCCGGGTGGCATCGCACAGGGGCGGCTCTACGTCTGCCGCCCGCTTCTTGATGCACAGATTTGTCTTTGGCTTCTTGAATATGGCGGTCTGCCCGCTCTGCGCCTTCACCTTCCAACACATGCGCCTGGAGAGGGGTGGAGAGGGGTGGAGAGGACGGATGGGATTTGAGTCTGACTCATAAGTCACCCCTGTGTCTGCCGCCCGCTTCTTGATGCACAGATTCTTCTTTGGCTTCTCGAAGATGGCTGTCGAAGGGGTGGAGAGGGGTGGAAGGGGTGGAGCATGAGCACGGGCGCCAGGATCTTTAGTTCTGCCTGCTCTGCGCCTTCACCTTACACAGCTTCTGACCCCCCTCGTTCCTTCCTCACACTACCTCTCATTCCCCCTCGTTCGCATACATGCAGGTCATAGGGTTCTCCTGAATCAACCGAATGACAACCCCACATTTCAACCCACCCATTCACCCAATCATCTCACCCTCCCATCTCACCCCATGAACGCCAGCATGTCCGTCCACAGCTTCTGATTCTCCTCGTCCTCGCGATACACAGGCGGGGCGGACCACACCCAGTAGCCCCCGGGCCGGATTACTCGATCCAGCTCCAGCAGCAATAGGCCGTCTGAAGGGCAGGCAGGGGAGGTGTAGGTTAGAGGGGCAACGAGGAGGTGTTATGTGCCGGCTCAAGGCATGGTAAAATGTGGCACACAGGCGGCACCCAGTAGCCGCCTGGCCGAATCACCCGATCCAGCTCCAGCAGCAATAGCCTGTCTGAAGGGCAGGCAGGGGAGGTGTAGGCAAGAGGGGGCAACGAGGGGGTGCTATGTGACGGCTCAAGGCATGGTTACAAATTATATGTGGCATACAGGCTGCAGCCAGTAGCTCCCTGGTTGACTGGATCACCCGATCCAGCTCCAGCAGCAGCGGCAGCCCCGTCCGAGGGGCGAGCAGGGGAGGTGTAGGCAAGAGGGGGCAACGAGGGGGTGCTATGTGACGGCTCAAGGCATGTGGCATACAGGCTGCAGCCAGTAGCCCCCTGGTTGGCTGGCTGGATCACCCGATCCAGCTCCAGCAGCAGCGGCGGCCCCGTCCGAGGGGCAGGCAGGGGCAAGGGACAAGAGTTCTCTCAATCACACCCACTCATCCACTCATCCACCCCATTCATCCACCCCTCCCTCCTCCCACCCACCTCTCTGCAGCCAGTCAATGCGGCAGCGGGAGCAGTGGGCCAGGTCGAACGCCAGGGACGGGAACGGCAGGCGCTGAGTGCCCATCACCCCCAGGAACGCAGGTAAGCCTCTTTCCAAGGCGAATTGGATCTGATTCTCGTGCACGTCGTTGGGGGCCACCGACATGGTCAGCACTGAGTGCTCCAGCAGGTACGCGCCGAACGACGCCACCCCGCACCCGATGTCCAGAACCGTCCGGATCTTGCCGCCCACCGAGAAGTTGCCGTTCTCGTCTCCCATCATCTGACCAAGAGGGTAGGGCGTGTGGGAGAGGCAGGGACGGAGTGAAAGTGGTACGTAAATGTTGGTGTTGCCTCTGTCCATCCAGTCCCGTCCCCCTTGTCCCGCCCGTCGCCTCCCCCCCTCCCCTTCCTTTTCTGCCCAATGCGCTCAATGTATTTGTCTGCCCTCCCAGGAAAGTACGTGCTCCCTTACACCCTTTCACCCATCCCCCCCCCCCCCCCCCCCCCTCTTCCCCAGTCTTTCTCACCTTCCCAATGCGCTCAATGTATTTGTCTGCGCCCCCAGGGAAGTGCGTGCCGCCGCCCGGGAATCGAATAATATCGCCGTCCACCACCATCCAGTGCTGATCCGACTTCTCTGTGGCCAGCAGCGTGTGGGGCACGTTCGCCCGCCACACCTCGTCCCTGCTGCGCGGCCAGGGGATGGACGTCTGGCAGGAGGGCGAGAGAAGGAGATGAGGGGAAGGGGAGGGGGGAGAGGGTCGACTATCTCAGTTGCTTGCAGCGCGTTGGGCAAATTCGCACCTCGTCCCTGCTGCGCGGCCAGGGGATGGACGTCTGGGGGGGAGGGAGAGAGGAGGAAGAAGACAGGATGAGAAAGGGGAGAGGAGGAGAGCGGAGGAGAAGGGGGGAGGGAGTTTTGATTGTTTTTGTGGCCAGCAGCGTGCGTGGCGAAGGGATGGACGTCTGGCAGGAGGGAGAGAGGAGAAGAAAGAAAGAAAGAAATTAAGCCCTGCATCGCCCCTGTCTCCCACGTTAAGCCCTGCATCCCCAATCCCCCACCGTCTCTCACCTAGTAGCCTGGCGGTTGGGGCACGAGGCAGCGAGATGAGGTCGTCCAAGGGGCAGTGGCGCTCGTAGTGCTCCATCACTTTGGTGTTCAGCTTCAGCTTCATGCCTTCTCTTCCCGCCCACACACCCCTCTACCCTGCTCCCCTGTTACCCCCCAGCCCTGCCCTTCTGCACCCGTGCCTGCCTCTCACCTTGTAGCCTGGCGGCTGCGGCACGAGGCAGTGCGGCATGAGGTCGTCAGAGGGGCAGTGGCGCTCGTAGTGCTCCATCACCTTCGTATTCAGCTTCAGCTTCATCTGCTTGTTCATTGCCGGGCTCAAGCACGGCACTATCTCTGATAGCTCAGGGTCACACGCCTGGGCCGGGGAGGGGGCGGGAATGTGCAGAAATGGCAGGAACAGGAACAGTGTGAAAGAGTGAAGGAGTGAGGAGAAGGAGGCCTTGGTGCATCAGTTGAGCTTCAGCTTCAGCTTCTGAGGCGCCTCAAAAAACAGTGTGAAAGAGTGAAGGAGTGAGGAGAAGGAGGTCTTGGTGCATCAGTTGAGCTTCAACTTCAGCTTCATGCGCTTGTTCAATGCAGGGCTCAGACACGGCAGTATCTCTGACAGCTCAGGGTCACACGCCTGGGAGAAGGGGTGGGGGACGTGCAGTGAAGGGAGAACAGGAGCACGAAGGGAGTGAAAATGTGACAGAGCAGGGAGAGGAAAACCCTTGGTGTTCAGCTTTAGCTTCATGCGCTTGTTCATGGCCGGGCTCAGGCACGGCACTATCTCTGACAGCTCAGGGTCACACGCCTGGAACGGGAGAGAGGGAGGGGCGGGGGAAGGAAAAAAACAGAGTGATGGCGCTGGGAGGGGGAAGAGGTCCGTCTCAGCTTCAGGCGCTTGTTCACGGTGGGACTCACCACACGGTGACACACGAAATCTAGTTTTGAGGTGCCTCAAAACTAGCTTCAGCTTCAGGCGCCTGTTCACGGCGGGACTCACCACGCACACGGTGACACACAAAACAGCAGCCGGCCTGAAAGCTCAGGTCTAAAAGAGTAATCTCAACAGCATGCACGCTCACCTCGTATTTCTCAACCACTTTCTCTGCAGCGCCACCCTCCTCCTCGTCCCCATCCTGCTCAGCGCCATCCGCGCTCTCCCCCCTCAGCTTCTTGCTCTTCGCCTTCCCCTTCTTGCTCGTCTTTCCACTCTTCTTGCTGCCCTTCACCTCCTCCTCCTCACTCTCTTCTCCCCCTTCCTCCGACCCTTCCTCCTCTCCCTCCTCGCTTCCCTTCTTCGCCTTCCTCTTTGCCCCGGTCTCCCCTTCCTCCTCCTCCCCTCCCTCCCCAGCGTCATCAGCTTCCTCCTCCTCCTTCCCACTCTTCTTCACTTTCTTCTTCGCAGCCCCTCCTTCCTCTTCCTCCTCCTCCCCACTCTCCTTCCCACCATCCTCACTCTTTCCTCCTTCCCCTTCCTCCTCCTCCTCACCCACCTCCTTCGCACTCTTCTTCTTCCCCTTCGCACCCTTCACTCCAGCCTTCCCTGCTTCAGCTGCCACAGTATCCTCTTCAACCTCCGCATCAGCTGTGCTCTCTATCTCTTTCTCCCCCTTCCCATCACCCCCCTCCTCATCCTTCCCCCCCTTCCCACCACCTGTCTCCTCTTCCGCATCCTCTCCCTCCTCCTTCCTCGTCTTCTTTGCTCCTTTCACTTTTTTGCTCGGCTTCACATCCCCCTCATCCCCTTCCTCCTCCGCCTCCTCGCTCTTCTTCTCACCCTCCTCATCCTCCTCACTCGCCTTCGCCGATGCCTTCTTCTTTCCGCCCTTCTTGCTCACACTCTCCTCCTCCTCTTCACTCTCTGACCCCTTCTCCTCTTCCTCTCCCTCTTCCTCACTCGCTTTCACCTTCTTCCCTTTCCTGCTTTTCGGCTTCTCCTCGTCTTCCTCGCTCTCATCTCCCTTCCCTCCCTTTCCCTCCGTTTCCCCATCACTCCCCTCGTCTTCCTCTTCGCTCGTTTTCGCCCTTTTCGCCTTCTTCGCAACCGGGGAGGCCTCTTCCTCCTCTTCCGCGTCCTCCTCACCTTTGCCGCCCTTCTTCTTCTTGCCTCCGGCGCTCTCTTCTTCCTCCTCCTCACTACCTCCCTCCTCCTCCGCCCCCTCCTTCCCCTTACCCTTCTTCGGCTTACTCTCATCCTCCTCCTCCTCTCCCTCCTCTCCATCCTTCCCTCTACCCTTCACCCCCTTCTTCTTCACACTACCCTCTTCCTCCTCGCCATCCTCTTCCCCTTCCTTAGTCTCAGAACCTTTTGCTCCGCTCCCCTCTTCCTCTTCCCCCTCCTCCGCTTCATCCTTTTTCTTCGTCTTCTTACCACCTGCAACTCTCCCTCCCTTCGCCTCCCCAACCGCACTCTCCTCATCCTTCTCCTCCGCATCAGAACCCTTTCCTTCCACCCCGCTCTCGTCCTCCTCTCCTTCTTTCTCTTTCTCCGCACCACCCTTCTCTTCCTCACCCTTCTCGCCCGTCTCTTCCTCCTCCCCTTCCTTCGCCGCGCCCACCCCTTCCGAGCCTCCAGTCACAACGCCGTCACCATCCGCATCAGCAGCAGCAGCCGCGTCAGCCGCCGTCGCCGCCGCCTTCGCATCGGCACCAGTGCGGCTGTGCAACAAGCCTTCCTCCTGACCATCTCCGCCGTCCGAATCCCCCTCCTGCGCAGCAGCGTCCTGCGCGTCTCTCTCTCTTTCCGACTTCGCGCGCGCATTCCCCCCGCCCGCCCCCCGCAGGCCCTCTTGTGCGGCTGACTCGCCGCCTTCCTCCTCGTCCACGGCCCTCCGGGGGGGTTCCATGTCGGAGTCTGCCGGCTCCCTGTAACGAAACAGCCAAGGAAGCAATTCAAAACGCGTACAGCGAGGTCGACACATGGAGCATCCTTCGACAGCTTGGATTGTGATATAAAGTATCAGGGTACCACGCTCCACTTGTCCTAAATGAAAAATTATGGGAAACGAGGCAAACGGATCAGGACAAAAGAAGGGGGGTCCGGAGGACAGAAAGCGTAACCGGCGGGTAAGGGGACCCAGGAACAAGAAAGCATAGCCGACAGCTGAATGAATTCGGAGAAGAAACAGGGTACCCGGCGCCCTTCACTGGAGGTAGATTCAGGCTGAGCTTGCTAGCATCCCGGATCTCGTGCTCCATCGGCTCACCTACGTGCAGTTCAAGTGAACTCATAACAGATCGGAAGAAGCAAAAACGTACCCGGCGCCCTTCACTGGAGGCAAATTCAGGCTGAGCTTGCTAGCATCCCGGATCTCGTGCTCCATTGGCTCACCTACGTGTAGTTCAAGTGAACTCATAACAGATCGGGAGAAGCAAAAACGTACCCGGCGCCCTTCACTGGAGGCAAATTCAGGCTGAGCTTGCTAGAATCCCGGATCTCGTGCTCCTGCGGCTCATCTCCCAGCGCATCTGACGTGTTGGGACCTCCAAGGCCGTCTCCTGCCCGATCCTGATCCTCATCCTGAACGAAAAGCACAGCACATAAGAACGTAGTAGATTTTTGGACTGATGCGTAGCAGAACCGCGGACAGAAAAGAGCATTGTGAGACGATTCGTGTCCGGATATGGGAGAAAAAACTGTACCAAGGGAAGCTGGATTCTGGATTCGTAAATACCAAGCTGGAAATGATCGACACGTGTCACGTCGGACAAAAGATCGACACGTGTCGAGTTAACTCCTGGTCCTTAAGGTACGCCTTAGAGTGGAGTCCTGATCGACACGTGTTTGATCGGATTCAGGACCAAAAGGTGTCTTAAGGAATCTTGATCAAGAAACACCTTTGAGTATCAGATTGCTATTATCAGAGCGGGTTCACACAATGGCGACAAGGCCGAGTGATTCTTTCAGTGGAGATCAAGCAATCACGAAAATGACGAATCCTTTTCAAGAATAGAGCGATCGTACCACGGACGATGTGGGAATCGGTCCCGGCTTGAAGCCACTGAAGAGGTAAGCGGCGACGAGCAGGAAAAGGACGAAGGCGAAACAGAATGCCGCCAGAGTCCGCCGGCCGGCCTGCTGGTGCTGCTGCTGGTGATGGTAATCAAATCGCCTCGCCATCGCGCGGCGACGGATTCAGGACCAAGGGAGAGGAGACTAAAAAATGTATCGCATACAAGGTGGAGCCTTCATCAATTTACGGCAATCGGAGACGCAGCGCAGCACTAATAAGCAGCCTCGCGAGGATAAGCGAGGGAAAGTACGAGAAGGGAATGAGCTTAGGCTGTAGATTCAGGCTATGGATCTGGATGATCCAGGTGAAAGCTGCTGATGATGATGGGATCAGTGGGAAGTTAAGAAGGTGTTCCTCACGGTTCATTAGTTTTCTAGAAGGTGTATACATGACGACCGTGGTTGAGTGCGATACCACCAAGGTGGTGAATTTGCTGTTCCTGGAGAACTTCTACAGTAGTTGGTCTGTGCATTGGCTTGGGGATTCCCAGATCTAAATCCGACGGTTGAAACGCACTTGATCCGCCGTGTTTTCCTTGTTCCGGCCGAATTCGCGCGCAGATCTCCAAGGTGGCTCTTCTTGTTGTGTGCCCCGCGGAGCCTGTCTAGCTCCAGCCGCCACTTTGCGCCATGCGCGCGGACCGATGATCCGCTCGCGTGGATAATCGGAGCGAGTGCTACTGTGGTCGGGTTTGCTGGTTTGCCAGGTGCGGGCGGGTGCTACTGTGGCATACAAGGGGGTGATGTTGTATGATGCTTCGTTAGAGAACACTTTTCTGACAGAATGTGATTCCAACGAGCGAAACTCTGACGACATTCGGCTGCCTCGCACCCTCGATTTTCCACGTGATACTCCAACAGCCAATCGAAAGTCACCTTCTTGGTGCAAACAATCACCCTCGCTACCAGACAGCACCAGGCAGCACCGAGCAGCACCACAAGATACATTCCAAGAATTGGAGATGAAGGCTTCAGTTATCTATGGTAGAGTTATTGATGTCTGCTGTAATAAAGCCGCCTAACCCCTCAGTCCCCAGTATTGCCGAAGCCATATTGACTCAGCAGCATGGCTCCTCATGGTGACAACGCGCACCATTCATGCGGAATTCCCGCCGTAGAAGGCGCTCCTAGTTCCGCGTATCCAATGGTGTCAGTCGACGAGGCTCAGAGGCTTGTTCTCGAGCACGCGAAACCTCTTCCAGCGGTTACAATTCCGTTGAACGAATCGTTAGGATGCGTACTTGCGAAAGATGTCATTGCTCCCGAGCCGATGCCGCCGTTTCCAGCTTCAATCAAGGCGAGATGAGGCAATTGAGATTTATTCTTTCATCCCATGCTCAATCTCGGCGTCACTGCATTGCGCTGCTGTTTCCTTCTTGATTAGAGCTCTTCTACGAAAATCAGATCGATCATGAATTCTCATAATAAAGTCTATTACAATAGGTCTCGTGGTCACTTCGATGCCTTTCGTTACAAGTCCTTCAAACACAACTCTTCAGAATATTGGTTTGTTGAACACCTTGTGTCGACGCGAAGTGCAACTCCTTCTACATCTTCCTTTTTTAACGTGATGCTGGCGATGCTGAGGTGGAATTCGGTGCAATCTGAAGCTTGAGTCCATTCAAAATGCATCTCGTTCGTCGGCTCTTCTTCGTGACGTCAGGATGGCTACGTTGTGGTGGCATCAGACGGTCCAGATGGATTTGGTTTGAATCTGAATGCATCTTCTTCTTTGTGACCTCTGTGCGTTGTCTTTCTTGACAATTCTCCTTTCTTGCTGTCAGGATGGCTACGCTGTGGTGGCAGCGGACGGGCCAGGCGAGTTCCCCATCATTGCTGAGGCGCGTGCGGGGGATGATGCAGCCAATGTGGTGGTGACACCTGGCACCGTCGCTTACATCACCACGGGAGGTACGCACTTTCCATAATGGATGTATTTTCCATGAGGTATGTATTCTGCATCGCCAATCCAACAGCCACGTGATGGCTAATCTGCCCCTTTTTGAGCGCTTTCGCCCACTCTCTCTTCCCCCCTCAGGCCCGGTTCCCCAGGGTGCGGACGCGGTGATTCAAGTGGAGGACACGCTTCCTGTTGACTCCTCCAGTGGTCAGAGGCGTGTGACTATAGTGAAGGGCGCTACCGTGGGGCAAGACATCCGCCCTGTGGTGCGTGCGTTGGAATTGCTCACTCGGTATTGGAATCTGGAAGTTGGAAGTATACGAAACTTCTTCCTCGCCAATTGACATTCCTGCCTAGGGTTCTCTCTGCTGCACCCTTGCATGCATGCACACGGCCAAACGAATGCGAGCATACACTGCGTATATCCAATTCCCCCTCTCATCCAACCTTTTTTCAGGGCTCGGATCTTGCTGCTGGCACAGTGGTGCTGCAGGCAGGCGAGCGCGTTGGGCCAGCGGAGATAGGGCTGCTGGCAACGGTGGGGGCAGCACACGTGCACGTGAGTGCCCTGCCTTGCTTTCCCTGCATGCTCATCTTGGCATCACTTGCTTATCTCGCAAAGCGCTGGAGGCGTGTTTCGAATGAGGACTTGCGTAATAGGTGCAGGCGAATGGTTTGCCTACCTAACGCTAGTAGTAGACCCCTCACAGAATGGCAGTGCCACTCTCCCTCCCTCTCTCCCTTTTCGACCGCCCTTTAATCCCCTCTCTACCCTCCCTCAGGTGCACTGGCAGCCGCTGGTGGCAGTCCTCTCCACAGGAGATGAGCTAATAGACCCCGCACAGAATGGCAGTGCCACTCTCCCTCGCGGCATGGTGAGTCGCCCTGCACAGCAGCATGGTGAGTCGCCCCGCACAGCAGCATGGTGAGTCGCCCCGCACAGCAGCATGGTGAGTCGCCCCGCACAGCGGCATGGTGAGTCGCCCTGCACAGCAGCATGGTGAGTCGCCCCGCACAGCAGCATGGTGAGTCGCCCCGCACAGCGGCATGGTGAGTCGCCCCGCACAGCAGCATGGTGAGTCGCCCCGCACAGCGGCATGGTGAGTCGCCCTGCACAGCAGCATGGTGAGTCGCCCCGCACAGCGGCATGGTGAGTCGCCCCGCACAGCAGCATGGTGAGTCGCCCCGCACAGCGGCATGGTGAGTCGCCCTGCACAGCAGCATGGTGAGTCGCCCCGCACAGCAGCATGGTGAGTCGCCCTGCACAGCGGCATGGTGAGTGGCCCCGCACAGCAGCATGGTGAGTCGCCCCGCACAGCAGCATGGTGAGTCGCCCCGCACAGCGGCATGGTGAGTCGCCCCGCACAGCAGCATGGCACACGTGGGATGAAGCCAACCCTCATCCGCAGAACCGGATCAGCATATCTCATAGACTCCACGTAGACGACTTTTGAGACGTCTCAAAAGTCATAGACTCCACGTAGCTTTCATTCATATCATACATACCGTCCCCACACTACACCACCCCACCACCTCCTCTCATTGTCATCTTCTACTTCCCCTCCCCCTCGTGCCTTGCCGGGATCGCAGCACTCAGTGTACCGTCATGTGTCTTTTTATTTTCCCTCCCTGGTTTTGCACACTCTGTTCTCTGAATGAATTCCCATGAGTTGCCTCAGTACATCCTTCGAATGTCCCGTTTCCCCTCTCTCTTGGTGTGCAGATAAGGGACGCCAATCGCTCCATGCTGTTGGCTGCTGTGCGCCAACACCTGGGAGCAGCCTCGGCACCACCAGCAGCATCAGAAGAAGCAGAACCATCAGCAGCACAATCAGCAGCAAGCTGTCCGGCCCCTCAGGATCTGGGAATAGCAGCGGATACAGAGGAGGCCGTGGCAGCAGCGTTTGAGAGGGCACTAGCAGCGAGAGCGGATGTGGTGGTGGCGTCTGGAGGAGTGTCCATGGGCGATAGGGACTTTGTCAAGCCATTACTTGAGCGGCTGGGGACTGTTCACTTTGGTCGGGTGAGTGGGTGCTGTTTTGCTGGGTGAGTGACGGTTTGAGGGCTGGCAGGGGGGCAGTGAGGGCCGTGGCAGCAGCGTTTGAGAGGGCGTTGGCAGAGAAGGCGGATGTGGTGGTGACGTCTGGAGGGGTGTCCATGGGCGACAGGGACTTTGTTAAGCCGCTGCTGGAAAGGCTTGGTACCGTGCACTTTGGGCGGGTGAGTGGGTGCTTCTTACACCCCTCCTCCATCTCGTCCCTCCCTTGTTATCCTTTCTCCTCTCCCTCCTTCCCTACCCATTTGCCGTTCCCTCCTCATTCCCCCCTCCCTTTCCTCTCTCCTTTCATTCCTTCCCTTTCCGTTCTATCCTCAGGTACACATGAAGCCAGGAAAACCGCTCACTTTTGCAACCATCGAAGCCCCCTCAGATAAGACGGATGGCGCCGCCCAGCCGCACCGAACGATAGTTTTTGGGCTGCCCGGGAATCCGGTCAGCTGCATGGTGTGCTTCAACCTGTTTGTGCTGCCCGCTATCCGGCAGATGGGGGGTTGGCGCCATCCCCTACTGCACAGGTGAGGAGGGAAAGAGGGCGAGGAGAGAGAAACGACTTTTAAATTGCCTCAAAAGTCCTTCAACCTGTTTGTGCTGCCTGCAATTTGGCAGATGAGGGTTGGCTTCATCCCCTGCTGCACAGGTGAGCAGGGGAAGCGGAAGGGGGAAGGGGTGGTTAGAGTGGATGATTGGAGTGACGCAAGTGAGTTGCACAAGAAGTGTTACTGGAAGAAAAGGAGACAATGCCAGCGCGAAAGCTAGGGAGAAGAGAAGAGTGGAGGCGAGTGAGTAGCACAACGCACCGCATTGCATACCTCTTCCTGTCCTCCCATCGTCCCCCATCCCCCAGGGTGCAGGCCCACATCTCCTCTGCTCTCCGCTTGGACCCTGAGCGTCCTGAGTACCACCGAGCATCCCTCCCCTACGTGCTTGCAATGAACGCATTGCAGTTATACCGCTCATTGCATTGCACCGGACTGCATACCCCTTTTATTCCTCCCTTTCCCCCATCCACCCAACAGGGTGCAGGCCCACATCTCCTCTGCTCTCCGCTTGGACCCTGACCGCCCCGAGTACCACCGGGCGTCCCTCCGCTGGGAGCCAAACGTCCCTGCTGCCCTTGCCTCCTCTGTTGCTGCTCCCACCACTGCTACTGCTACTGCCACTACTGCTTCTGCTACTCCTGCTCCTCCTTCCTCCACCGCTGTGTCTGGTTTCGTAGCAGACAGCACAGGCAGGCAGATAAGCAGTCGCCTCCTCTCCATGCGCTCAGCGCACTGCCTGCTTGAGCTGCCCCAGGCGCGGGGCTCCCTCCCTGCAGGCTCTCTTGTCTCCGCGCTGCTGCTGCCTGATGCTGCTGCGTGCCTGGCGGTCCCTGCGGTGGCAGTGGGGAGGACGGAAGGAGGAGAGGCTGTGGGCAAGGGAGGGGAGGGAGAGGAGGGGGAGAAGTATGGGTGTGGGTGCAGTCATGGGCATGGGAAAGGGCATGGGAATGGGCATAAGCAAAGCGCTGGTGCTGCTTCCGCCCCTGCTGTTGCTGCTGCTGTTGCCTCTCCTTCCACTGCTGGTGCTGCTGCCTCCACTGTGGGTGCGGGTGTGCGAGTGGCGATTCTGACTGTCAGTGACACGGTGGCGGCAGGCCTAGCAGCAGATGCCAGGTGAGTCAAGAAAGTGGTCCCGCGGTGGTGGCAGGTCTGGTAGAATTGAGGTTTCCCTCTTGCAAATGTTCAGTCCCATGTCCCCCTTGGTAGCGCCGAGTAGAGCATGGTGTTTTTGAGAATTCTCAAAAATACCCTGCAGCATAATGTTCAGTCCCATGTCCCCCTTGGTAGTGCCGAGTACAGCATGGCTTTCTCCTCTTCCCTTGCTGTGTTTCCATGGGCGCTTGCTCTAATTCCCGCCTTCCAACTCCATGCCCGTGTCCCCCATGCCTTTCACACTGTACCCCCTCTCGCCACCCAGTGGCCCCAGGGCAGTGCAGGCAGTGCAGTCACTGCTGCCAGCAGCAGCAGTGGTGGCGACGGCTGTTGTTCCAGACGACCCAGACAAGATAGCAGCGCAGGTTAAGGCGTGGGCAGATGGGGGAGGAATTGCTGTGTCAACTAGTGAGGAAGCGGGTGTGGCAGCAGTGGATGTGATTATAACGACAGGGGGCACGGGGTTCTCTCCCCGGGATGTCACTCCTGAAGCCTGTGCGCCGCTCTTCCACCGCTCTGCACCGGGCCTCACCCATGCCATGCTGCAGGAGAGCCTCAGGGTAGGGTTTTTTATATCTTTCGTTTCTCTTTCTCTTTTCTTAAGAGAGGAAGGGCAGGGAAAAAAGGTAGGGGAGGGTGGGATGTTCAGGCTCGACAACATATAAGGTGACAAATTTGTTCCCTGTGTCATTTTTTTCCTTCTCTCACGCACCCTTGTTTGTTCTATCGACTGCTTTTCTTCTCTCGTTTCTCCCATGCAGATCACGCCCTTTGCCATGCTCTCGCGCATGGCTGCTGGCATTAGAGGCTCCACTCTGGTGAGATAGCATGACAGCATGGGGCCATGGGGGTATGGGTGCATGGGGGCATGGGGGCATGATGCATGGTGACATGGGTGGTTGGATGGATGCAGCATGCAATTGTGCATGGCTGCAGGCATCCGAGGCTCCACTCTGGTAAGATAGAATGACAGCATGCGTTCATGGATGCATGGGTGCATGACATGCATAACATGCATGGTGCATCGGTGCATCATGCATGGTATGGTGACATGGGCAACCCGCAAGTTGGTGCAGCCACAAGCTTAACCTCTTCTCCTGGCCCCACCCACCACCCACCATCCATCTGAACCCCTCAGATCCTCAACCTGCCTGGCAACCCTAATGCGGTGTCAGAATGCCTGGCTGCTCTCATGCCTGCTCTTCCCCATGGCTTGAAGCAGCTGAAAGGGGACAAGCGGGAGAAACACCCCCGCCACACGCCCCACCCTGGCATAGCCAAGTGATGGTTTCTGGGTTGACTAGCATAGGTTCACAAGACAACGTGGTCTTGAGAGAGTAAAGCTGTGCGCCTCGTGCCAGCTCCACCACATGGGCTGAAGCAGCTGAAACGGGACAAGCGGGAGAAGCACCCTGCTACATGTGGCCTAGCATGACAAAGCAATACAAATGAGCACTTGGAGTTCTTGCTCTGCATGTGCCAGCAACACATCCGAAAAGAATATTGAACGTTCCGTATCCAAGCCAGCAGAGCATGCGATGTACAGTACTTTACCTTGGCTCCCTCCCCTCTTAGAAAGATACTGTACTAGGCTATACAGAAACATTTCACATGTTCATTAGCACCAGCTCTATTTTCTTCGGGGGCAGCCAATGTCGCAGCAGTAATTATTCAGCCCCAATTGCACCGCACGCTCAAGAAACTCCTTATGTTGTTCACACGAGGGCACGATACAAGCTTCACTGCGTGCGCTAATTTATCGCGCCGCGTCGCCTTGCACGGTATCTCTCAACCGGAAGGCGTCGACGGTCCGGTTTCTTTCCCGTCAGTGTGCGAATACTTTTCCGCTAGAGTGTTAGGGGGAGGGGGATATCCGGGTTGACTGTGTGACAGCAGGTAGTTGACTCACAAAGTCACCAGAAAAGAAAATCACGGCTAGTAGGGTGTGAGAGAGAGACAGGGCGGCACAATCAAGATGGACTCGCGGGATGATGTCATGGGCCTTGCTACGGGCATCGGCGTAATATTAGGAATTGCGAATCCGCGGAACGGCGCGCCGCCTCTATGGTGCCACCGCCGGCGGCTTCCTCCTTGTCTGGCGCAGCGGAATGGCGCGGAAGTTGCGTCTGTTCCGCTCGTTCCGCCCGTTCCGTTCGTTCCGATCGTTCCGCTTGTTCCTGCGCGGGGGAATGGCGCGGAGGCTGCCTGTGAAGGCGCGCGGGGGGAAGGGGTTCCGCGAGTTGGGGGAGCAGCGGGCATATATGAGCAGAGGGAAGCGGGGGGATCTGGGCAGGGGGAGAGGGAAAAGGGAAGGGGTGCGGAGGAATCAGGGGGGTTATGGGGTGGTGGGACGGAGAGAGGAGTGATGGGTGGGGTTGGGGATGGTCGCATGGGGGATGGTGGGAAAGGGTTTTGCGGGCTAGAGGGAGGAATGGGGTGGGCTGGCAGGTCACATGCTGGGAGGGAAGAGGTGGGGGAGGGGGGAGAGGCTGATGTGGGAGGGGTGGAGGGAGATGAGGATGAAGAGGTGGTTGAGGTGGAGTGGGTCGGAGATTGTGTGAGGGGGAGTGTGTGGCAGAGGGTAGAGGAGTGTGTGAGGGAGTGCGGAGGGGAGTGTGGTGGGGAGTGTGGAGGGGAGTGTGGAGCGAGACAGGATGAGGAGGAGGAGGAGGGAGGAGGAGGAGGAGGAGGAGGAGGAGGAGGAGGAGGAGGAGGAGGAGGAGGAGGAGGAGGAGGAGGAGGAGGAGGAGGAGGAGGAGGATAAGGATAGTGCGATGGGCCTCGCAGCCGCTATTGAGGCGCCTCAGAATGTAACGGGCATCGGCACGAATCCACGGAACGGCCCGCCGCCTCCTCGGTGCTACGCCCGGCGGCTTCCGCCTCGCCTGGCGCAGCGGAATGCCGCGGAGAGTGAGGAAGGAGAGGATGATGATGTGGTGGAAGTTCCAATAGGGGACAATAGGTGGCGGGATATTAACGAGTTACACACTGATAGTGCGAAGGAGATAGAAGGTTTGCGAAGGGAGGGAGGGAAAGGGAGAGAAGAGGGGGGGGGAATGGTTGAGGAGGAGAGGGGGGAGGGGGGAGGGGCGGCGAAGGGGAAGGAGAAGAAGAGGAAGAGGGAGGAGGAGAGGGGCACGGGTGGGCAGGAGGAGCGTTTTCTGTGCGGAGAATGTGGGCAGGCTTTTGGTCGACGGACAACTTTAAAGGCACACTTGGGTACCCATTTTTTGCAGGTTCAGGCGCTATGCCGTTCAACCCAGGTGCGTTTTCCTCACTCACTCGCTCACTCACTCACTCTCCCCCACTCACCTGCTCGCTCACTCACGCACTCACCCACTCTCTACTCTACCTCACTCATTCATGCATTCACCCACTCACAGGCTCACAGACTCACTCACGGTCTCTTTCACTCACATACCTTGCACATACCTTGCACATACCTTGCACATACCTTGCACATACCTTGCACATACCTTGCACATACCTTGCACATACCTTGCACATACCTTGCACATACCTTGCACATACCTTGCACATACCTTGCACATACCTTGCACATACCTTGCACATACCTTGCACATACCTCGCACATACCTTGCACATACCTTGCACATACCTTGCACATACCTTGCACATACCTTGCACATACCTTGCACATACCTTGCACATACCTTGCACATACCTCGCACATACCTTGCACATACCTTGCACATACCTTGCACATACCTTGCACATACCTTGCACATACCTCGCACATACCTTGCACATACCTTGCACATACCTTGCACATACCTCGCACATACCTTGCACATACATTGCACATACCTTGCACATACCTTGCACATACCTTGCACATACCTTGCACATACCTCGCACATACCTTGCACATACCTTGCACATACCTTGCACATACCTCGCACATACCTCGCACATACCTCACGGGCACTGGTGCCATCTCCACCCTTACCGCTCGTCTTTCCACTCTTCCCCTCGGTCCCTGCCGTGATTCCAGAAGGCTGGAAGCCAGGTTCGCCCCTCACCGCTTGCCTCTTTGCCCCTTCTGCAGCAGAAGTGGTTTGGGTGTTTCCATGCGAACACCCACAAGCCATGCTATGTAGTCAAGTCAAGGCATTAAGTCAACTTCCCCTCTTACCGCCTGCCTCTTTGCCTGTTCTGCTGCAGGAAAAACCTTTTCTGTGCCCGCATGTGGGTTGCAGCAAGGCATTCACCACAAATTTCAGCCTAACGAGGCACCTTCTAGTGCATGACTCCAGTGCTCCTCGGGTAAGCTCCCCTCGCCCTCTCCCCTTTATTGCCCCTTAAGTATCAGTTACCGAGGCACCTTCTAGTGCATGACCCCAATGCCCCTCAAGTAAGCTCCCTTGCTTGCTCTCATGGTGAAAGTCGCAGCCCCTCAACTTTTATCCCCCTTTTCATCACTCCCCTCTTCCCTCGTTCCACTCTTTCCCTCCCCCCTCCTCTCCCTCCTCGACTTGTCCCAAACTCATCACAATAATCCTTGGTACACCATGCAGCATGCCCCACACAATAGCATCATGCAGCATGCCACACACAATAGCACCATGCAGCATGCCACACACAATACCACCATGCAGCATGCCACACACAATAGCACCATGCAGCATGCCACACACAATAGCACCATGCAGCATGCCACACACAATAGCACCATGCAGCATGCCACACACAATAGTACCATGCAGCATGCCACACACAATAGCACCATGCAGCATGCCACACACAATAGCACCATGCAGCATGCCGCATGCAAGGACGCAGGGTTTGTGGCTTTATTGACGCATCTTGTATTCCCTCTCCCTGTTCTCTTCCCTCCCCTCTCCCACATCCCCTCTCCCCCCCCACCCTCCCCCCATCTCTCTCCTTGGAAAAAACCAGATTCCCTGCACTCATCGCCCCTGCCCTCTAACCTTTAAGCGTCAAGAGGACATGCGAAGGCATGCAAGGTGGAAGCATGGCAGAGGGAGAGGGAGTGGGGTGCGAGTAAAGAGCGCGCATGCGGGCAGGAAGGGGAAGAGAGCGCATGGGGGAGAGGTAGGGAGGCATAGAGGCGAGAAGGAGGGTGATTCTGTGAGTGGGAAAGAGAGACAAAGGGGGGAGGAGAGGGATGAGGAGGGAAGTGAAGGGGAGGACCTGTATGAGGAAGTAGGGACGGAGGGGGAGAGGGGCGAAGGGCGAAGGAGCCGTTGGGAGAGGGAAGAAGAGGGAAGGAGGGAAGAGAACCGGGACGAGGAGGAAAGCATGGGGGAGGAGGAAAGGAGGGGGGAAGAGAGGGGAGGAGGAGAGAGGAGCGAGGAGAAGAGGGACGAGGAGGAAAGGATGGGGGAGGAAAGAAGGGTGGAGGAGGAAAGAAGGGTGGAGGAGGAAAGAAGGGCGGAGGAGGAAAGAAGGGCGGAGGAGGAAAGAAGGGCGGAGGAGGAAAGAAGGGCGGAGGAGGGAAGAAGGGCGGAGGAGGAAAGAAGGGCGGAGGAGGAAAGAAGGGCGGAGGAGGGAAGAAGGGCGGAGGAGGAAAGAAGGGCGGAGGAGGAAAGAAGGGAGGAGGAGGAAAGAAGGGCAGAGGAGGAAAGAAGGGCGGAGGAGGAAAGAAGGGTGGAGGAGGAAAGAAGGGCGGAGGAGGAAAGAAGGGAGGAGGAGGAAAGAAGGGCGGAGGAGGAAAGAAGGGCGGAGGAGGAAAGAAAGGCGGAGGAGGAAAGAAGGGCGGAGGAGGAAAGGAGGGCGGAGGAGGAAAGAAGGGCAGAGGAGGAAAGAAGGGTGGAGGAGGAAAGAAGGGCGGAGGAGGGAAGAAGGGCGGAGGAGGAAAGAAGGGCGGAGGAGGAAAGAAGGGAGGAGGAGGAGGAAAGAAGGGTGGAGGAGGGAAGAAGGGCGGAGGAGGAAAGAAGGGCGGAGGAGGAAAGAAGGGCGGAGGAGGAAAGAAGGGCAGAGGAGGAAAGAAGGGTGGAGGAGGAAAGAAGGGCGGAGGAGGGAAGAAGGGCGGAGGAGGAAAGAAGGGCGGAGGAGGAAAGAAGGGAGGAGGAGGAGGAAAGAAGGGCGGAGGAGGAAAGAAGGGTGGAGGAGGTAAGAAGGGAGGAGGAGGAAAGAAGGGCGGAGGAGGAAAGAAGGGCGGAGGAGGAAAGAAGGGCGGAGGAGGAAAGAAGGGCGGAGGAGGAAAGAAGGGCGGAGGAGGAAAGAAGGGCGGAGGAGGAAAGAAGGGCGGAGGAGGTAAGAAGGGAGGAGGAGGAAGAAGGGCGAGAGGAGAAAGAAGGGCGGAGGAGGAAAGAAGGGCGGAGGAGGAAGAAGGGCGGAGGAGGAAAGAAGGGCGGAGGAGGAAAGAAGGGCGGAGGAGGAAAGAAGGGCGGAGGAGGAAAGAAGGGCGGAGGAGGAAAGAAGGGCGGAGGAGGAAAGAAGGGCGGAGGAGGAAAGAAGGGCGGAGGAGGAAAGAAGGGGCGGAGGAGGAAAGAAGGGCGGAGGAGGAAAGAGGGCGGAGGAGGTAAGAAGGGAGGAGGAGGAAAGAAGGGCGGAGGACGAAAGAAGGGCGGAGGAGGAAAGAAGGGCGGAGGAGGAAAGAAGGGCGGAGGAGGAAAGAAGGGCGGAGGAGGAAAGAAGGGAGGAGGAGGAAAGAAGGGCGGAGGAGGAAAGAAGGGCGGAGGAGGTAAGAAGGGCGGAGGAGGAAAGAAGGGCGGAGGAGGAAAGAAGGGGCGGAGGAGGAAAGAAGGGCGGAGGAGGAAAGAAGGGCGGAGGAGGAAAGAAGGGCGGAGGAGGAAAGAAGGGCGGAGGAGGAAAGAAGGGAGGAGGAGGAAAGAAGGGCGGAGGAGGAAAGAAGGGCGGAGGAGGAAGAAGGGTGGAGGAGGAAAGAAGGGCGGAGGAGGAAAGAAGGGCGGAGGAGGAAAGAAGGGCGGAGGAGGAAAGAAGGGCGGAGGAGGAAAGAAGGGCGGAGGAGGAAAGAAGGGCGGAGGAGGAAAGAAGGGCGGAGGAGGAAAGAAGGGCGGAGGAGGAAAGAAGGGCGGAGGAGGAAAGAAGGGCGGAGGAGGAAAGAAGGGCGGAGGAGGAAAGAAGGGCGGAGGAGGAAAGAAGGGCGGAGGAGGAAAGAAGGGTGGAGGAGGAAAGAAGGACGGAGGACGAAAGAAGGGCGGAGGACGAAAGAAGGGCGGAGGAGGAAAGAAGGGCGGAGGAGGAAAGAAGGGCCGGAGGAGGAAAGAAGGGCGGAGGAGGAAAGAAGGGCGGAGGAGGAAAGAAGGGTGGAGGAGGGAAGAAGGGCGGAGGAGGAAAGAAGGGCGGAGGAGGAAAGAAGGGCGGAGGAGGAAAGAAGGGCGGAGGAGGGAAGAAGGGCGGAGGAGGAAAGAAGGGCGGAGGAGGTAAGAAGGGAGGAGGAGGAAAGAAGGGCGGAGGAGGAAAGAAGGGCGGAGGAGGAAAGAAGGGCGGAGGAGGAAAGAAGGGCGGAGGAGGAAAGAAGGGCGGAGGAGGAAAGAAGGGCGGAGGAGGAAAGAAGGGCGGAGGAGGAAAGAAGGGCGGAGGAGGAAAGAAGGGCGGAGGAGGAAAGAAGGGCGGAGGAGGAAAGAAGGGCGGAGGAGGAAAGAAGGGGCGGAGGAGGAAAGAAGGGCGGAGGAGGAAAGAAGGGCGGAGGAGGTAAGAAGGGAGGAGGAGGAAAGAAGGGCGGAGGACGAAAGAAGGGGCGGAGGAGGAAAGAAGGGCGGAGGAGGAAAGAAGGGCGGAGGAGGAAAGAAGGGCGGAGGGGGAAAGAAGGGCGGAGGAGGAAAGAAGGGAGGAGGAGGAAAGAAGGGCGGAGGAGGAAGAAGGGCGGAGGAGGAAAGAAGGGCGGAGGAGGAAAGGAGGGTGGAGGAGGAAAGAAGGGAGGAGGAGGAAAGAAGGGAGGAGGAGGAAAGAAGGGCGGAGGAGGAAAGAAGGGTGGAGGAGGAAAGAAGGGTGGAGGAGGAAGGAAGGGTGGAGGAGGAAAGAAGGGTGGAGGTGGAAACAAGGGTGGAGGAGGAAAGGAGGGTGGAGGAGGAAAGGAGGGTGGAGGAGGAAAGGAGGGTGGAGGAGGAAAGGAGGGTGGAGGAGGAAAGGAGGGTGGAGGAGGAAATGAGGGTGGAGGAGGAAAGGAGGGTGGAGGAGGAAAGGAGGGTGGAGGAGGAAAGGAGGGTGGAGGAGGAAAGGAGGGTGGAGGAGGAAAGTAGGGTGGAGGAGGAAAGGAGGGTGGAGGAGGAAAGGAGGGTGGAGGAGGAAAGGAGGGTGGAGGAGGAAAAGGAGGGTGGAGGAGGAAAGGAGGGTGGAGGAAAGGGGGGAGGAAGGGGGGGCATGGAGAGGAGAAGGAAGCAACTTTTATTAGTGGAGAAGATGGAAGGAGAGGGGAGGAGAGGGAAGAGGAGGGAATGAGGGCAACATGGGAAGGGCAGCAGCAGGAAGGCAGCACGGGAAGGGCAGCGGTGCAGCTTCAAGGGGAGTGCAGTGCGGTTGGAGAGGTAGGGGGGCAGAGGAAGGAGGAGAGCAATGCCTTTCAGGAGATGAGGGCAACATGGGAAGGGCAGCAGCGGTGCTGCTTCACTGGGAGGGCAGCGTGGGAGAGGCCATGAGGCAGAGGCAAGTTGAGTGCAGTGACGGTGGAGGAAGGAGGGGCGGCACAGGAAGCAGCAGCTGAATCCGTTCCTGAAAATGAGGGTAGCAGAGGAAGATCAGTGGTGCAGACTTATGAGACGGGCAACGATTTCGGAGGAGGGAGGAAAGGAGGGTGAAGAGGAGGGAGAAGAGGAGGGAGAAGAGGAGGGAGCAGAGGAGGGTGAAGAGAAAGGGGCAGAGGAGGGGGCACAGCTGGGATCACAGGTGGGAGCAGAAGAGGGAGTGGAGGAGGGAGCAGAGGAGGCAGAAGAGGAGGGAGAAGAGGAGAGAGCAGTAGAGGGAGCAGAGGTGGGAGCAGAGGAGGGAGCAGAGGAGGGGGCAGAAGAGGGAGTGGAGGAGGGAGCAGAGGAAGGAGCAGAGGAGGGAGCAGAGGAAGGAGCAGAGGAGGGAGCAGAGGAAGGAGCAGAGGAGGGAGCAGAGGAAGGAGGCAGAAGGAGGGGAGCAGGGGAGGGAGCAGAGGAGGAAGCAGAGGAGGGAGAAGAGGAGAGAGCAGAGGAGGGAGCAGAGGAGGAAGCAGAGGAGGGAGAAGAGGAGAGAGCAGTAGAGGGAGCAGAGGTGGGAGCAGAGGAGGAAGCAGAGGAGGGAGCAGAGGAGGGGGGCAGAGGAGGGAGCAGAGGAAGGAGAAGAGGAGGGAGAAGATGAGGGGGCAGAGGAGGGAGCAGAGGAGGGAGCAGAGATGAAAGCAGAGGAGGGAGCAGAGGAGGAAGCAGAGGAGGGAGAAGAGGAGAGAGAAGAGGAGGGAGCAGAGGAGGGAGCAGAGGTGGGAGCAGAGGTGGGAGCAGAGGAGGGAGCAGAGGAGGGAGCAGAGGAGGGAGAAAAGGAGGGGGCAGAGGAGGGAGCAGAGGAGGGAGCAGAGATGAAAGCAGAGGAGGGAGCAGAGGAGGAAGCAAGAGGAGGGAGAAGAGGAGAGAGAAGAGGAGGGGAGCAGAGGAGAGAGCAGGAGGAGGGAGCAGAGGAAGGGAGAAGAGGAGGGAGAAGAGGAGGGGGCAGAGGAGGGAGACGAGGAGGGAGCAGAGGAGGGGGCAGAGGAGGGAGCAGAGGAGGGGACAGAGGAGAGAACATTGGAGGGAGCAGAGGAGGGATCAGAG